TGCAAGGCTTGAGTCGTCGCGTTTGTATCGTTGCAGTCACGCGTTTGCATCGATGCAATCGCACGTTTGACTAACGCGTGTTAGCATCGCTGCTAAAAGTCACCGTGTGTTACCACTCTTACGTATAAAACTCGTCTGTTCCAATTGATTTAGCGCACTCTTGATTATCTATTTATTAAAAACACCCTTTGCAAAATTACATATTAGACAGAATGCTTAAAGGCTCAACTCACACTGGCGCAGAGTCGAAGCGTCGCGACGCGTCATGTTTTTCGCCTATTGCATATTCATCTCTATTTTCCCATAATTAGGTACAAATATGTGTTATGCAAGTATGGAATATACGCGCGACAACGCGCGCCTTCGCCTTTTTGTAGTTGAAAACGACGCGACGCTTCGACTCTACGTCAGTGTGAGTTAAGAGTAGGTATGTCAAATTTTATACTTTGGACCATTATTATCTGAAGCGACGTAGAGTTTAATTTAAATTTTAATTGTTAAGTTTGACGTACTTTTGTATTTACTTCAGAGAATAATCTAGTTTAATAATCTGCAGTGTGTCAGGTCGTCAGCCCGCAAACGTATTAAGCGATACTGCTACGTGATTTCCTGAAGCCATTGAGTGCACGGATCAATAATGGACCTGCAAATATTTACTATTCTACTGTTGTTCTTTATCATCCAATATACCTCGTGGTTGGAAAAATAGATACAACGCGACTCAGCAATTTCTTCAGCTTCAGACACAAATGTTCAATCGTCATTCCTGAATATGACATCATCCCATCATGGGCTCAAGAAAATTTTTGATTATTTTAGTCAACTTATTGCATTATTATACGTAGGTACGTAGTGTTAGGCGTCTATACATTGTTAACAGACTTCAAAAAAGTAGGTTCTCAATTCGACTGTTTTTTTGTATGTATGTTACGCGATAACTCGCGTTCGTGAACCGATTTTGATGATTATTTTTTATTGGAAAGAATGTACCTCAGTATTGGTCCCATTTTCCACCTCTAAGGGTGGCAAACTAGGGGATGAATCAGGTTTCGCACACTTTCCAGTAACCGATTTCAATAAATCTTGGCGAATATATGTAATTCTAAAACTTTTGTTAATTCACGTGTAAAGGAGTCTGATGTCGCCTACGTTTATGTAATAAAGAATGTATAGAAAATAAAACAGCCGTTAGTTCGGTTCTTTTGCTGTAATCCCAAGAGAATAATAAATGTTTTTGGAATGTTTATTATTCCGTAACGTCAAAACACTTAAAATGTTTCAATTGAGATTCTGCACATGTTCCTTAGTCATAATTTGATTCATAATAACGTCGTAAGTGGAATCCATAGACTAGGGTATTTTTTAAATCGAATATAAACGAAGTTATTTTTTTAATACCAAGTGATGTGATGAACAAGTCGTGGACTTGGTGATAAACGACATGTCCATAGCAGTTCCAGTGCCACACAGAGAGCTTTAAATCGAAAAGATTGCAACTGCGCGCGTTATCTTGAGATATAACTTTATAAGTTGTCGCCACGCCTAAGGTTCTATCATAATGTAAATTACATATTTAGGCGACATTGCTTCTATCGCATGTAATAAAGTATCTTCGCGTATACCTCTTCCAATTTGATTCTACGTCATTGTCCTCATAGGTCATTGACCTCAAATCGATCCTCTGGATCAGAACTAGTGGGATCACAGACATATATCTAGATAGACGCAAGTGTACGTACTTCGCGTGCCCAAAATAAGTGAAATTCACTTACCGCTGCTACACTTCAGAACGCGCTCGACTGTTATCGTAGATAAACCAGTCGAAAACGCGAAAAATGCGTAATTGTGCCATTATAAACAGCAAAAGCACCATAACTGGGTAAACGGGTAAACAGGGACGTTTCCTTCCACGGGCAAGTGATTTTGTAATCAGAAGATGCATAATTTATTTTAAAAAATTATTTTGGTTTCGTATGAATTTCGATATCGAAATATGCAACCGAGTGTATGCCTCATGATTTGTAAACATTGCGGCTGTTACTTGGTGCGATACATTTGTGATTCTTTCTTAATAGGCCATGCATATCGAACAAACGCACTTTTGTATAATGCATTCAGTTTCGTGGTACGGCCGCTTCTACATTTCTTTGGCCAAATTTAACATTTAGTTATTTAACACGTTAGGCAAAACTGTTCTCGATTCTGATCGATTTTGAAAACAAAGGGACGAAAACTATTATGACTTTAGCAATATTATAAAAATATTCTATAACTCTTTTGTTATAACGTTTAGTAACGTTTCGTTTTTTTTTTCAGTTTTGTAGTATTTATTATCAGTAGTATCTGTAATTTTGATAATTTTTGCAGCAAACTTGCTGTCCGAATATAGTGAGCAAATAATTACATACATATGTAGTACGAGTAATACAAAAAAATATATAATGCGAAGAATTAACAGTGCGCTGTCTTTACAAAAAACTGGAGTTGGTCATACCTATGAGTTCGTTGCTTTCGAGGACGAAGGTGGTCTAGTTTATCTCACCTAAGATGCTATCCAAATATGAAGAGTAGCAGAGTAAGAAATCCGAGAAATAATAAACAAATCACAAAAATTTCACACGAGGCGGTCATTAAGTAAACCTCTTTTGATTAATAAGATTTTACCATATTTGTCAGCAGTAACATTTTATTATTTATTATAACAATTACCAACAGAAAACCATCTAGTAAAATTAATTAAGGCAGTCGCAAGCTTATATATATCGACGAGCGTTTTCATTATTTAAGTTAATCGATAAGATCTTCCATTACAAAAAGATGTTATATAATAAGCTCATTTTATTGGAAGGACAATAATTTTAATATTTAAAGTCGATTAAAAATTAATGTCTTAATTTTTGTTAAGTAATCAACATTTTTTAAAAACTAGTAAAATAAAGGACTTAACTATTTTATTCTAGTATGTTTCTACTATATATTATTCTTCTAATAGGGGTTAAAGTATGAAATTGCCGATTTGTACTGAAAATCTAAATTGTTTATTTTTTAAATTTGTAACAAATTTATTTAATCAAAATAGTTGCCATTATTATCTATACATTGCTGCCATCTAATGGGAAGGTTATTAATGCCTTTGCGATGGAACTCCGACGATCTAGACTGCACAAACTGTGTGAAAGCATTTTGTACTGCCTCCTGGGAAGAAAACTTCTTGTCACGTAGATAATTGTCCAAATCACGAAAAAAATGGTAGTCCGTTGGAGCAAGGTCTCGTGAATACGGAGGATGACGAATGGTTTCTAACTGCAGTTCCTGAAGGGTCAAAATGGTTTCTCGTGCTGTGTGAGGTCTCGCGTTGTCGTGGAGCAATAATGGTGAAGATCGATTCATGAGTCGGGGCTGTTTTACTGCTAGTTTTATCAACATGGTTCGGAGTTCGGCACAATAGACATCTGCCGTTATTGCTTGACCAGATCGGAGAAAACTATAGTGAATAACACCATGCTGAGACCACCAAACAGTTACCATTACCTTTTTATTGGTAAGTTTTGCTTTAGGACACTGTTGTGGCATTTGACCTGGGGTCAGCCATTGCATTTTTCTTTTCCGGTTATCATAAAGAATCCACTTTTCATCACATGTTACAATTCGATCCAATATTCCTTCATTTCTGTACCGGTTCAACAAGGCAACACAAGTTTCAACACGCGTTTCTTTCTGCAGATCAGTCAAATCATGAGGCACCCATTTTTCGTATTTTTTTATTTTATTGATTTGACGCAAGTGAGTCAATATTGTGGGTAAGGTAACGTTAAACCATGCCGCTAATTCCTGGGTAGTTTGACTAGGATCGGCTTCCACTATCTCTCTTAATTCATCGTTATTCACCTGTGTGAATAACGATCGGTCGGGCGGTCTTCCTCGTGGCTCGTTCTTTAAGTCGAAATTTCCATCACGAAAGCGTTTAAACCAAAATCGCACGGTGCGTTCATTAGTAGACCCTTCTCCAAACGCAGCATTGATATTGCGGGCTGTTTCTGCCGCGTTAGTTAGAACTCGTATTAAAAAATCACTCGAATTTTCGCAGTATCCATCTTTCTTGTCTAAATTGAATAACAAAAACAATTGAAAGTCGATATTCAAATGTTTCAAATTAAAAAAAAAAAGAAAATCACAGAAACCATTTGAAAAAAGTTTCATTCGAAAACCTCAAACCATGAAGATTCTATGAAAATTCAAAGAACCTATTGCAATAAAACGGCAATTTCATACTTTAACCCCTAATATATTAATATTACTACTACTTGTAATCAACAACTACTTGAACAAAAAATATTCTGTTTAGAATCGATTAATTGAATAGAATACGTGTTTTTACGCGTATTCCGTTCAATCAATCGATGTAGAGCGGGCGGAAGGTTTTCATCATTAAATAGTTTTTATGACGTTATAGTAGGTACAAAATATGTGGCACGCTTGGTTTTCATACAAATTGCTGTACTTGCGGCGTGTATTTAGATATATGTCTGTGAGTGGGATCCTCTGACCCCTATGACAGGCCTCCACACACACACCCTTACAGCCCTTCCTGTTCCACCGCTTCATTTATACCTTCAAGTAAAAGTGGCGGGTCTCATTCAAACTCTGTTACTACTTCGTTCAGGTCTATCTTCAGTCTGTCTAGACAACAAATACTGTATCCAAGTTAGTAACAAACATTGTGCAAACTTACCAACTGTAGTGCCGATCAACCTGTGCACTCCCAACAGACGCCTGATAACTCACCTTCAGAATTTATGACACCTGGACTGTCGGACTCGTTCCCTACTCTTAGATATTATGACAGAGTAAATTTATTAATGCTGATATTACAAAATTAATACTAAATCGCGACATAATTCGCGACACAAGGCCCATGTAATTTCCCATTCAAAACCGGAAAGCAGTAATGCTCAGATTACGCGAAAATGGTTGTAAATTATGAAACTTGTTTATTGCAGAGAGACGAATCTGAAATGTCGGCAGTGCCTTTCGGAGACGGCCGCGATGGGCCAGGACGACGCACAACTGGGTGCCTTCGATGGCGAGATCGTCTGTGAAAAGCCCAATAATTTACTTAATAAGTTCGAAGGTAAGTTCTCTTAGATTTTTTGGATATCTCCATAATTTTCTTTATTCTTAAACGATTTCTGCTTGTAAAGTTGGAAAGAATGGTTTAAGAGATTCTAATTAAGATAACATACACGACAACATGAGTACTGCTAAACAACTGCCTCCGTGGCCGAACGGTTACCATGCTGGATTATCACGCTGATGTTCCGGTTCGATTCCCGGACCGGGTAAACTATTACATATAAAGTAGTGCGGGGTTGTGCGCGTTTAAAAAAATAACAACATGGCCTACAAATGATTTTTTTCCCAATTTTATCTTTTATAAATAAATTTGAAAATGGTGAAATTACAGGTACATGGGACTTGTCACCTTGTGTCTCAGGGTGATGGGCGCAGTGGTAGCACCCCTCCGATCTTTGCAATTTAAAGCTCTGAGTGGCACTGTAACTGTTATGGACAGGCGTGTAGCTTACCATCAGGCGCACGACTTGTTCGTCCCGTCACTTGATATTTGTTAAACAAAAATTCTGTCTTTTTTATTATTTACACAATTCAATCCGACCTATAAAAATCAAGAACTTTTAACATTTATAATATAAATGGGCGTCAAAGTAATCTATAATGTTAATGTATGACGCAACAGAAAGCAATCAAGTCCATTGACTTCTTCACATGTTTAACCGAATAAGGGGTTTCTAGAGAAGTGTTACCCAGCATTGCATATAACCTACGACATTTCTACCTACAACCATTGTAACACGAAACCTGACATTTAGATCCAAGACGATTATCGTCAGGTGAAGGCGTTGTTGTTGAACACAGGCCCTGTAGAACAGGCCATGTAATACCAGTTCAAAGAGTTAAAAGGAATAGCAAATCTTATGTAGTTTTGGAGCCTATAAATATTGGAATGAATGGGAGGAAAAGAACTACTTAGCCCCACAAACAAGTCAAGTCTTGGATATTTAGCCAAGTCTGTCAGACATCATTATACAATAATTGCAGATGATAATTTCGTAATTAAACTGGCTCATCAGGCCTTTCGCTTTTCATTAGCTCTAGCTTACAAAACACCTGCCACAGACCAGTGGATTTGCAATATTGCGACGAAACTACGATAGCATACGTAACGTAATTAACGTATTATTAAGGTAATAAATATAATAAATACCCATTATCTATTTAATTGTTACTGACCTCGGGATTCAGTGGTTAACATCGTGAGCGCTTGATGAGGAGGTCCTAGCCTCAATTCCCGGTAAAACAAATTGTTTTCTAAATTGCTCATGTGTCTACTGAGTAGTACCTCGAAGTAAGATGGTGTAACGCGGTTGCTGGGCCACTTAGACACTGCAACTGCGCCTGTCACCCTGAGACATAAGTTGATAGTCCCATGTGCCTGTAATTTCATCTATATCCTTACTCTTTAAAACCGGAACGCGAAAGTAGATGAGGTGGCAGTACTTTCCTGGACGAACTCTTTCTCCAGGAGTTCTACTGCTACTAAAAAAAGATTAAATAATAACAATAACGCGCACGCACTCATAGCACCAGGGAAACCCTGTATCGCGGCTGCCATGGATACACACAATGCAACCATAAAATTACACCCAAACTAAATGATGTATGCCATACAAATATTTCTCTCGGCCCGGGAATCGAACCCGGGACCTCTGCATGGCAGTCCAATATGGTAACCGTTCGGCTACAGAGGCAGGCAAAATACAGTTTAAGTCTTCCTCACAATTACTTCGACAATTTCAACTTGCACTCCTACGCATATAATGTAATACCGTTGTTACACGACTCCGATAGGAGTACATGTGCCCATGTGTGTATAGCAATATCTATATTTAAACGAAACAACAGGAAAAGGAAATTAAGTGCAATTTGTACTTTATAGCATAGTAATGAATTGTATTGGAATTGTGTTAATGATCTTGCGTCCTTTTTGTCACTACAACCCGTATTCGTAGTGCTGCCAATTATTAGGTATAAGTGCAATTTATATCATTTATGTTTTTTAATATATTTTTATGTAAAATCAACAGACGCTCGGCCTCAATATCTCATCTCTGCTATTTTAGTTTTTAATAAAAACTAAAATAGCAGAGGTTTGCCGTAATTGTTTTGATAGCGATTTGATTGAATTGATTTAATTGCAACTTTATACAGGATGTATAAAGCGATGTCATCAAGTAGCAGTACAGCTCCTTCTGAAAGAGTTCGTCAAAAAAAGTACTGCCACCTTACTCATTTCAGCCACCAAGCAGTAATGTGAAGATTACTGCGTCCCGGTTTTCAAACGTGGAAATTATATATATTGGGAATTATCGGCGCGTCGGACTTGTCTGTCAACTTTAAGTCTGAGGGTGCAATGGCAGTTCCCGTCAGCTTTTTGCGAAGTTTTAATTCATAGGTTGCCAAATTTTTTCGTTCACCGCCCACTTAGACAAGATAAAAAAATTAAAGCGCCCCCTGCCACAAAAAAAAATTTTTTTTTATATTTACTTAACACCAAAAATCACAAGGTAAAAATTTCACGTGTGTGTATTATGTATAATTTTTTTTATTCAAATGCGAGGACCCTACTGCCCCGCTAGTGACTCTTCAGCGCTCACTAGGGGGCAATAGGGACCACTTTGGGAAACTATGCTATAATTGGCACTGCAACTGTTATGGATAGGCGTGTCGCTTACCACCAGACACACGACTTATTCTTTTCGTTACTTGGTATTACAAAATGTATAATAATGGGGCGTGTTTGGACGAGCATAGTCATAAATTAAAACTATATCCTAGTTATAATTTTATTTCGTCCTAAAACACTATAAAGTTTTTAAACAAGTGTTGAAACAATATTATTAAAACAATTATTACGAAACCATATAGTATTTTATTAGGAATAATAAAACATTATTGGCTTTTGTTATCACACGATAATATATAGCCCGTTATAATTATAACTTATTAATTAGAGGCATAATTAGCACTCATTAGTTTCATACACTGACTGTTAAAACGTTATATTGTTAATTATTATTGTTCTATTCTCAAGGCTCATTTAATTTTAAAATAAGCATAAAAATATTTTTTACTTTGCAATTGGCTAGATTTTGTCAAATTTGTTTATTTATCTAAAAGGAAAACCAACAGCTTAAAACGAAATAAGTAAATATATAAGTTTCTTTAACGCACACACTCATAGCCACGCACTAGGGAAACCCTGAATCGCGGGTGCCATCGACACACATAGACAACCACAAATTACATCCAAACTCGCGAGAGAAATAAATGTAGGCCTTACAAATATTTCTCCCGGCCCGGAAATCGAATCATCCCCCAGTTTACTACCCTTAGATTTGGAATATTTCCTTCAAATTTAAATGTGACCACTTCTGAGGTATTCTCTTTCCAACAAAAAAAAACATCATAATCGGTTTACAATTGGCGGGGTTATCGCGTAACACACAGACATACAGACGAATTGAGAACCTCCTCCTTTTTATGAAGTCGGTTAAAAAATAATAAACATAAACATTGTATTTGTAGGCACGTTAAGCTGGCGTGAACAACACTTCTCGCTGGACAACGACAAGATCTTGTTGAGGGGCTGCGTGCTGCGCAACACGTCGTGGTGCTACGGCGTCGTCGTTTTTGCCGGAAAGGACACCAAGCTTATGCAGAACTCCGGGAAAACCAAGTTTAAGCGCACCAGCATAGATAGACTACTTAATTTTCTTATAATAGGGGTAAGTATTTCTTTTAATCCTTGCATCCATAAATCCTTCTCAAGTGAGAGATTAATATTAAGGCCATATTTAAATCAACTGTCTTTATCAATAAATATACTTGAGTGCTCATAACAATTACTCTAAATTAATTCTTCTTCGCTTATAGGCGGCACCCATTTTAAGATTTCGCCAGAATCTGGTTTTCAGCTTATTAATTAAGATCTTTAGCAGACTCTGCTATACGCTTTATTTCAGAATTATCAAAATTTCCACTATATATAAATGTCCGGCAGCACTGGTTACCCAAAATCATTATTAAGTCCTAGTCATTCAAGTGCAGGGTTTTGGTCACTTGAAATGATATCGTCTAAAATAACGTTGATTAGAGTCTATTAATACAAATGCATCTCAATATCTGAGTGACATCTCAGTCAATATGAACTTAATGACCTAAGGACTTATTATTTGTATATAGGCCTAATTTGACTGTTAAAATTACTGAAATAACAAACAAGCTACTTACCACCTCTCAATAAGTTATTTTCTGTACAATTATACTAAACAAACGTAGGTAACAAATCAATAAAAAAAATAATTACAGATAATAGCGACATCTCTAGCCAGGGCTGGTAGCTATAAAGGTATCAAATTGGGTGACGAAATACTTTCATGGGTTTCTAATAGATGGCGTTACGGCTAAAAAGTCGTTGAAAAACCAAATACAAACATCTCCGACAACGGGCACATGGAAAAATTCTTGAGGTCTGCTGGTGCGTTCCGTGGCTTAGTTGGCATAGCGTCATAGGCACTATTTGCTAGGAGACGTCGGTTCGAATACGGCCGGTTCGAAGGATTTTTTTCTAAGTGTTCAATCTTTGTATTAATAATTAAAACATAGGTATCTTAAAAAGTTAGTAAACATAAATAAATAATTAATATTTATATATATATTATTAATATTTTATAATTAATATTAATATTAGACAACATCACATACGTTGCTCTGATCCCGAAGTAAGTACCTAAAGCTAGTGCTTTAGGTACTTACTTCGGGACACAAGTGTGTTATGGAAATCGGAAACAACGACGGTACGACAAACACCCAGATCTAAGACCACATAGAAATGTTAATTTCTTCACTGACCCGGCCGGGGACCGAACCCGGGACCTCAGAAAACTGGTGTGCAAGCCACTCAACCACGGAGGCCGTAGTATAAATTCCAATATTGAACTAGACATTGCCCGGAATTTCAATCGCGTAAACAACACGGTCAAAATTATGGTTTATCTTACGTTGGCATCGTCTGCCTCATGCCTACTTTACGTTATGCACACGTCGTATTTTTTACGCGCCTAGAACAGATGACGCGCGTCAACGCTATTCAAACAAGATTCCTTCAATAATAGTCTCTCTCAAAATACCTTCAGCTTAAGCTATTTTATCGACACAAAGTACCTATGAACTCGGGCAATAGTATATTTAGGATTTTTGATTTCTCGACATATTTTTTTTCCTCGAGCTTCGGGAATTCCAGAGCCCGATTTGCTGGGTTTCTTGAGTTGTTCGAGAATTTTTTTAAACCTTAAAAAATTAGCTTAGTATAAATACAAATAAAAATAAACACAATTTATAATAAAACCAACATGTTTCATTTATTTATCAACGTTATTATTATTAAATCAACCAGTCTTACCCAAGTAATTCTTAGGAACATTTATAAATAATCTACATTTAGCCATTACAATCAATTGAACAAAATAAAACAAATCACATTAATACAAACAAATCAATATTACAAATAATGACGTATCTTATGAAAAAATTACAAAACGAATCAACAAAAAGACCTCATACCACACGAAGTTGGTGCCTCTGTACTTCTGATCCATCAAAGAAATGTTGTGAATATGTAATAGATCTCTATCTAAACAATCTATCTATCTATCTAAAAAAGGACATGTAAGGCAATGCGCGTTTAAATAATATTTGTTCTTCGTAAAAAAATTCCAAGACTTGAACTTTTCCTTTGTCTGCAAAGGTTTGTAAGTCAATTTTTTAGTAATTTAAAAACGTAATTTGTTTTCTCGATTTCTCGAGTTCTCGAGAATATTTTTCTCGTCTCGAAGTTAGCCAGATTTCCCGGAATTCCTCAAGTCGAAGAAACCCTAGTATATATGTAGACAGACACGTATTTCTGATAACGTGTTATATTATACTGTAAATGTTGAATTCTACTTTACAGATAGTATTTTTCCTGCTGTCGATGTGCGTGTTCTGCACTGTGGCGTGTGGCGTGTGGGAGTGGCTCGTGGGCCAGTACTTCCAGAGCTACCTGCCGTGGGACACGCTGGTGCCCAGCGAGCCCGTACCTGGCGCCATCGTGATCGCCTTTCTCGTCTTCTTTTCCTACGCCATCGTTATGAACACTGTTGTGCCTATATCGCTTTATGTCTCTGTTGAAGTAAGTACACAATACTCGTTGCAAATATTACAATATCAAAATAAAATAGTGCTTTAAGTGGAGTGATATTACCATATTTTCTTAGGTTTCCCAGAAACTAAACTCCTCACAAGTTCCTTTTTAAATAAATTTAAAAAAAAATCAAAAGTATTCCTAGCATTTTGTGTGTGGTATCACACAAGAATAATTTCTTTCCGTAGTGTTATTCCGCCAATTCTTAATAATTAAGGGTTCTTTTAATTGTTTGACTAAATATTGTGTTTTTCTTATAGGTAATAAGATTTGCGCAGAGTTTCCTCATAAACTGGGACGAGAAGATGTATTACGAAAAGACTGGTACTGCCGCTAAAGCGAGGACAACCACGTTGAATGAGGAACTAGGTACGTTCCTTTATGATAACATATAATTTAAATATAGTTCGTTTCAATACAGGAAATGTAAATTAACACAGGTGGCGCTGAAAAGCAGTTTAAACCCAATACAAAGGTCTGTAACAATCACATAGAGATGTTCGTAAGATGTACGAACTCATTCTGTAGCTCGGTTGGCACTGGTTCTAGTCCGGTTAGATCGAAGGAATTTTGCATTGTGTTGTTCGATCTTTGTGGCAATAACAACACAGATAATATAATACTATACTAATCATAATTAGATGTCCAAAATGTAAACAAAGAAATGTCATGAAATGTCATTGTCAAAATGTGTCATTGTCAAAATGTGAACGCGGTGTGCCTTCTATATTTAATGGAATTGGAAGAGGATGAGGTTCTCATTTTCTACAATTTTAATTATGTATTACAAAATATAACACTAAACAAACAAACACAATAATTTAAAAAATCATTACGGAGACAAGAAAACATTCGAGTTCGAGAAACGAAGCTCGAATTACATCTATGACATGACAAAATGGCGGCACAAAAAATGTTTTTGATCCCGATTGTGTTACCAGTGTTATAAAATGATTTAGTATCTTAACCATAGTCTTTTATTATAATTATTGCATTAAACGAAATTAAGTAAAGTAAAATGTTGCTAATTGTGAATAGTTTAGGTTTAATCGGATTACAGTTTGAAACGAGTTCTAATCGTTTACTACTGTTAAAAATAGCGAAATAACCTTTTAAAATGTGAAATGTAATATGATTCACACTATAGTACAGATTTTTTTGTATGAGACCCAATCTTATACAAAGAAATGTCGCACTCGTAACTCCGCTTATTCGGACGCTCATTTTCATTCTTAACGCTGATCAATAGATGCCAGGTAAACCCACGATACGATTTGTAATTCGAAAAGACCAACAGGTGGCAGCCATTACATTTTTGTCAAGGTTATTCGTCTTGTTCAGGCGTTGATTATATTATATATAATACAATAACACATTATAAAATCGTAAACAGTTTATACTTGTAATATTTTAAAGTAAAAATCAGTGCTAAAACGTTACTTAATTTCGAGAATAAATGCAATGAAATGGCGTCTGTACCATTTATTGCAAACTAATATCTTTTCAATAACAGTTTATTATTTTCACCTGATAGTATTATTGTAAATGAACATTCCGTAAATGTTGTTTAGTTTTGATTTTTTTTAAATATTTTATACTTGTACAGTATGACATACCTCTAGTTTTCAACATTCAATACTTTATATTTTTTGTTTTATCCAATTGTCGCCATCTACAACTTTTAACATGTACTAAAGTTAAGTTGTATGAATTGATACTCCATGTTAATAATAACAAACTAGTGGAGTATTTTCATAAAAAATATAAGAATATCATGGTAGTAAATCATATGATATTCAATGAGGAAATATTACCTCTCAATTATTGTCGTGTCCATAAAGGTATTTAAAATGATTGAGACACAAATTACCTTAGTAGTTATTACATTGATAGCAATAAAATTATTCAGTATTTTCCTGTACTAGTATCCAAAGTAACAACATTTGTAGTTCATATATTTGAGAGGAAATCTCTAACATTACATGTGTTAGACTAACTTTAACATATTTACGGCTAATTGTTCACAGTTAAGACAGATATCCTAATCCATAGATTATGTGCGTCTCATGTAGTCCAGAAATTCTTTTTAATTAAATCTTCATTTTTAGAATTTTAACAATGCGTTGTTTCCAGGTCAAATCCAGTACATATTCTCGGACAAAACGGGCACGTTAACACAGAACATTATGACTTTCAACAAATGCTCGATAGCGGGCGTGTCCTACGGCGATGTCGTAGACGAGAACACGGGCGAAACCATCGAACTCACTGACGTAAGTTGCTCACGTATGAACCCTAGGATATTGTTGAGACAATTTTTTAATGATTGCATAAACAAAAGGGACTGTGGACTATGGTTTTATAAAGTGACGCCACTAAATTATGGCTATCAAACCACGTCACTGTCATAGCAGGAGTTTCTTATAGTTTCGTATATCTCACTGCAATATTCCCATACCTTTGCGATAGTAATTGTATGTTTTTTGACGATATCGGTACTTCGGGAAAGACCCTTTCTTTCCCGTACGTAAAGGCCAATTGTATTAAAAATGAGTTGTCGATGTAGTTGGTTAAAATTTTCTTGCTCTTTTGAGTTGTCGACTTAAACTTTTGTTAATTGCCAAAAAATGGCTTTTTAATATGCAAATTTTAATAAAAAAAGATACTAACTGAAACTTTATAAATTTTTGTTTTACGCACATATTTTGTTGTTTGGCTTTTACGCCCTTTCTACTCCGAGGTATCGATACGAATATAAACAGACAGGCGGATATCACTTTGTTAAATCATTTCACCAAGTCTCAAGTATTATTCTGCAAAGATTAATAGTAAAAGCACTGCAATAGAAAATTTCTTAAGACCATGTTTTTGATGCATGTAGGATGCATTAGTTTCAACAAGTCACGGATATGTCGAGACACGCAACCCACATTATTTCTTAATTTTGCATGGAATTCTTGAGTTTAAAATTTTATAAGAATTCAACCATTTAGTGTATTTTGAAAATAAGAAACATTTAAGATATTTTCATGTTTTTGTCCTCGTTTGCCCTCGCTTTAGGGGACTTTGTGTGTGTCATGTATAAGATTGTGCATGTGTTGAATTACTATTTACGAGCATCACACAATTTTTATATACATTTATGTTACTCGTGCACCAATGTATGTATAAATGTTCATGTTTTATTTCATACGACAATCTACCACCCACCACTCACTTTTAGATATTTTATACCTTATTTGCATGTAAACACACTGCAAATTACTTTGACACAACACATTTTTGAAATGTCTTCGCTATCACTACAAATTTAATTGTTTCATGGTTTGGTGTGAATTGTTAGATAATTTCAATAGATATTTCAAAAGTAATCTAAAATAAAGACGTATAAGTTTGTCTAGCTGTAATTAAAGATTAACCTTTATATGAACGTAGTTAAGGTTTTGTTACGAAATTATTACAAACTATAGTCTGTCTTTTTGAAGACCGCGTAAAATGACATTTGCAGTATTGCCAGTTTTCATAAAATACTGAATAGGCATGTAGTTGTTATTTTATCGGTAGATTGTGAAAGAAGGCACAATTTTGCCAAAAATGGCTGGATTGTGATTGTTACGACGTCCTAATGATTACTTAGTCCATTTCTTATGGGATGAGTACTGTGACATTTCAAATTTTTATGTTGCATGCATACTATTATTGATTATTCTCACAGTGAGATTACAAAAAGTAAATAGTAAATTTGTTATAATTATAAATAGACCAAAAAACAAACAATATTTGTTTCAATTGTAATTTTATATAAATTACAGTTTATAAAGTAGATAGAAACTGAAATGTTAATATAAATGTATAAATAAATATAAATTACCCCAACTTCTTCATAGTTAAACTGCAAAACTAAATATTTATCCATAGAGATTTACATCATAGAATCGATAAATCGAATGTATGATATATGATGAATGTATCTTGCGTCAATACATCTTGTATATGGGTCGTTTTCTTTTGTTTCTAGCTTTGTGTGATGTTTTTGAAGTAATTATTCAAATTTCGTTTCGTAGCTGTTGATTTTTTGTTGACTTTTTGTTTGGTTATTGGTGTTTTTTTTATGTTGTGGAGTTTTTTCGTATCTTAATAACATAATAATTTAATCTTTTTTTTTTTTTTTTTTTATTTTTTGTTTTTAAACTCTTCTCTAAATAGATTATCTCTTCGTTACAAACTATCTCGATAAGACATTTAAATCGATTTTTTTCATTCGATTTTACATTACTTACTACGTCTCTAGAAACTTGAAATATCGAACGTCACCGTACTCATGCTGTGTGCAGGCGATTTTGATTATCTGTATAAATTTAAAATGAAAAACTTAAAAATATATCTTCTATTTGTATTTTTAATGGACATAGTTCTAAATGTAGTATACGTAACGTACACACTCCACTGACTGACTCCATCATCAAAAAAGACAGACTATAGTGGAGTAATTTCACAAAAAATAAATGAATGTGGTAGTGAAACGTCATACATAATATTCAATAAAATTATAGCTTATAAATGTTACCATAGACTCTAACAATAATTGTGTTTGTATTAAAATAAACAATGATGAAAAAGTATTTATTACAAATCCTACGAAACAAATTTCGTATGCTACTATTTTATTAATGTTGATTAAAAAAATTATAATAATTGATAGTGACTATACACAATTTTGACTCGACAGTCTATATTCATCGACATACATATGTCGCCCCTTTAGCACGAATGTACGTATCTTACTATAGTCACGGATATCAATTATTAATATTGTAAGGGACAGTGTTACCTCAGTTACAGTAAGAGCGAGATGTATAACGTCAAAGATAGTAAGACAGTGTCTAAATGAAACGGGACGATATCACGGAGTGGGTGGTAGGAGGTATGTGTGACGTATTGGCTGGTGGCAGCGCGCGGGTCGGGCGGGGCGGTCGCGCGCGGGCAGCTCCGCCGCGACCGCAGCGGCGCCGGTCGCGGTCACCACCACCCCGGCGGGCCGAGGGGCCCGTGCACGGCTGCTGGAGCTGGAGCACGAGCAGGGACGCTCCACGCCAGGCGCACGCCGGCCCAGAGAACACTCCACTGTACGACTTAATCACGACACCCTGCCACGTTTATTCGCATCCGTTCTTTTGCTCTTACACTCGTCATTAGTGCAGTGCGAACTCCAAAGCAGGGCTTGTGTATCTTCCTAGGCGAACTGCTCAAATCATTGTATTAATTTGTGCCAACTGTCGATAATGGAAGTCTAATAGACTATTTTTACAAGTTGTTAATAATTATTGCATAGCATGCAATTCTACGTTACAAACTCGTTACTGTACTCATGTCGGGGTAATATCGAGGCAGTACAATCAGAACGGAAACGGATAAATGTATTTACAAAATACTTCCCAACTTCTCTGTCTGTTCCTTCCTCAAACTGTCGCTATTTACTTAGTTGAAATAAAAATGTTTCAAAGTATGAATCCCTACAACAAAAGCATTTCATTACTTAGTGAACGCCAATGGAAATTAATAGTATGTATAATATATTGAAAACTAACTTAAAATAGGTATGAAATGTCAAAAAGAACTATAAAGGTACTTATGATATGTAGGTAAAAGTACCTGCAACAGAATCGTCAACAAGGATTCATACTATGAATTCCAGCTTTCAGTGGTCTTTTTGATTAAAATAACAAAGGCTAAATTAAAACCTTGAAACATATAATCCTTTTATATTTCGTCCTATGGTACTTTGTATTTCGCTAGATGTATAATGGAAACTTCTATAATTCTAAAATAAAATATTTTTAACATAATTAACTTATTAAATACCTAAAATTTGTTAAAAGATTTAACTTTATTTATTTACACTGCACACGTATATCAATAAACACACATAACATTGGCTAATAAACCCGTCGGCTATGTAGTAGTCTAAACTAAACATTACGTAATATCTACTGCCTGTACCTAATCTGATTTAATTTGACAGTCAAATAACGCTATCCTGTTCACACATCATTAAAGGCTCATTGAGTAAGGTTATTCGCATATTGGATCATGTCGTTCCTCTACTGTCCAATGTCGTAACTAGGCAATTTCAAGTTCATGGTAAGGCCCTGGGCCTTATCAACGTTTAGAGCGATCTATTTAAATAATTTTATTTTTGTACGAAAGTAAAATTTGTTGAATTATTAAATGTCATGGAAGAAAAGTTGTTGTTTATGATGTTAGTAATATGGTCCTGAGAGGTTATTAGTATTTTATAAATAACCCTGTATAAAAAAGTGGACATACGACGATGACTAATTTGTAGATTCGTGTCTTAAATGCGGAAATCCATATTAATGTAAATCGAAGTAAATTTCTTTACTGCTCCGCGAACTATCACTGATGGTACATAGTGGTAAAATAGCTGTGCTTGTGTCCCACTTTCTCTTTGCATAAAAATAATCAAATAAATAACACAAACGCAACTACAGTCACAAACACCACCATCAAAAATTCGTTCGACCGCGTCGAAGAATCAACAACTCTTGGGTATGCCTCGAAGAAAAGAGTAGTAGAGAGGTGAATCAAGAGGTCGAGTATATTTTTTTGGTGGTGTTGGTGTTTGTAGTCGCGTAGATAGTATATAAAATACTCAACCCAAACGCAGCTGTTTTGCACGGTTTAACCGTCACTGGTTCACAAAGTAGCAAAGTAATTTACATCCATTTTTATACAACGATTAGTGTAGAATGTTCGCTTTTGCAAGCTGAGAAAGATCATACGTTTTTAACAGTTACAACAAAAATGTCAGAGAAGCAAAAGGGGAAAACATGGTGTTCAAACAATCAATGCTATCTTTATTTTGACATTTCTCTGCTTGGCATTTTGAGAAATGTTTGTCATTTATTCGTTTTACGCACGCGAGATAAAAACACCTGAAACAAACTTCCCCTTGCGTACCGCGATCTAACGCGCTTCAATTTAATTTAGATAGATAGATAGATAATTCGTTTATTTGCCGAAACACAGTACATTACAAAAACAAACTTACAACAAAGGTACAATAGTAGAATTAAAAAATAATAATAAAAAAGAAAAACAAACTAGTCTATACTTGATGTGGAGTGTTATATTGTGTGGAGTGTAGATTTGCGTGTACTGTGCCAGCAAAAAGGACCCAACTCAGCATTATGTCGCAGCTCAGTAGAACTACGACGCTGGTGATTCTGCTAGGTCCTAAATGAGCCGGTAAAAAGAAGAGAAGATTCATATTAACGAATTGAAACTGTGTCAGTGTGTATGAATATAATTATAATTATGATATTAACTGTATATGAAATATAATATAATACAAAATAAAATATACGTATACACATGCACAACACACATACAATACACATATAAAAAAACAAATAAAAACAAACAAATAAAATTCTACCGTCATCCAAAAAATAACAAAACGGAATACAATCTAATGTGAACAACTATATGCGCTACCGCAGATGTATTCGCTAACTACGCTCGCTGCCAATGCTAGATACGGCCTACTATATTAATTTCATTTTTATAACTCTATTTAAAATAACATAACATATTTTATTTTTTATTTATTTATTTTATTTGATTTTATTTCATTTGAACTTATGGCGTCTGTTTCAAATACTCGCGAAATTATTTTGTAGAATATATTTTTTTAATGAAAATTTAAAAGAGTAGATTGAGGTAAGATTTCTAATGGGGGGTGGTATGTCATTCCATATTTTGGTCGCATTGTATTTGAAACAACCACGGAAAGCAGCCGTTTTATGGGTGGGAACAATGAGCGGCGGGACGCACGTTCTAAACGGCATGACTTGTCTATTTGAACGCCATTTTAGTTTTTTATAAAGGTAAGATGGTACTTGGTTCTTTATGATTCCAAATAGCAGAGTCGCAGTGTATAGTTTTTGACGTTCGCTCATGTTTAGAACTTTAAAAGATTGAAGATATGGCGCGACATGGGTACGTGGTGGTATTCTAAAACAGTATCTTGCACAGGCATTTTGCACACGCTGAATCAATTTTTGGGATTTTTTTGTAACGCAGGACCCATACACGGTGATGCAGTAATTTAGTTTAGATAGTACTAGTGCATCACAAAGCATCACCCTCAAATCCAAATTTATGAGATCTCGAATTCTGTATAATACTTTAAGACGATAAAAGCAGTTACGCACCGTCTCTAGCAAATAATGTTGGAAACGCAGCCCACCATCCATCAAAATACCCAAATTACGAGCCTCCTCCACCCGTTCAATATTTACACCTGATATATTTATAGTGGGATTTAGATCAACAATCCTTGCAATTTGTTTACACGAGCCCAAAACGATGTATTTTGTTTTTTGAGGATTAAGCACCAAACAATTTCTCGAAGACCACGCTACGATACTCGCAAGATCTTCATTCAGTGCCTTAATTGTCTCGCTGAAATCATGGGTACCTACGGGTATATAAACCTGAAGATCATCTGCGTATAAGTGATACTGAGAGTGTTTGATAGAACTTGTTATATCGGAAGTGTAGAGTATAAACAGAAGAGGACCCAATATAGATCCCTGAGGCACTCCTCTGCTTACACGCGCCTCCTGCGAAACTAAGGTAGAACCGTCAGCAGCACAGATCTCAACACGTTGCGCACGATCCCCCAAATACGAGCCAAACCATGCTATTGTAGAATCATCAAACCCGTAGAACGCCATTTTGGAAAGAAGAAGTTGGTGATCAATGCAATCAAATGCCCTTGAGTAGTCCAGTAAAAGGAGGATAGTTGCTTTGCCTTTATCTTGATTAGAGAGTATGTTGTCAACAACATCAAGCAATGCCGTCGCCGTACTACGTCCCTTTCTAAAACCAGACTGTAATTCAGGTAAGATGTCATGAGATTCACAATATTTTGAAAGTTGATCAAAAACAACCTTTTCCAGAATTTTTGATAGATAAGGAAGTAGACTAATGGGGCGTAAATCTTTTAATTCGCTAGGGTTAGCAACTTTAGGGATTGGTTTTACGAGGGCAGTTTTCCATGCAGCCGGGAATTTGCCAGTAACAATGGATTTATTGATCATGCAAGTGATAATTGGCAGAGAGTGAGGCAATGTGAGCAATAGCATATCCCTACTGAGGCGGTCAGCTCCTTGAGCGTTGGACTTAATACTAAGAATGACCTTACCCACTGTATTCTCCGTAACTGGTTCTATATGAAATACAGAAGAACCATGTCTATGGGATTTAAAGTACAAAATATCAGACGATACAACATTATTAGTACCTGATACATTCATGAAATGCGAGTTGATTTTTTGTGGGTCAAGAAGATGTTGTGGCAGCTCTTGATAGGTTTTGGAATTAGGTAGAACTGTGCTTTTTAGGTTCCTCCAGAGAACTTTAGGCATTTTAATATTTTTGTTGACAAATTGCTCAAAATAGGCTTTTCGCTCAGCAAAAAGGCAAATGTTAACATTTTTTTTTAACTCTCTGTAATATTTATCGTGCTCAACTATGCCAGTCACACAATACCTCTCCCTAGCCTCATCTCGTATCTGCATTTGATAGCGGATATTGCTAGTGATCCATGGGGTTGGTCGGTCACGTATAGTGATGGTTCGAGTAGGTGCATGTACATCAAATAATAGAGTAATACGACTCGAGAACGCAGACACCATATCATCAACGTTGTCACGTTGAGATAGCAATATTTCATACATGTCAAATTATTATTGGACTAACAATTCCGTGTAATGGAAGTGACACCCGTATATATTGTAAATTATTTATGTCATTTTAATAAAATTTCTTGGTGTTGTGTTTATTTTGTGTCTAATCTTTGGTTTGTGTTTTGACGTGTCGCATGTTGCTTTGCATCGTGTTTGTTTCTTCTGGGTAGTTTGCTTTTAACACCAATAACACGTGTAAAATCATTATAATGTGTATACATCTATGTTAAACATAGTATCTAATATAGGTACTGTAACTAATGACTGTAACAGTATTTTTGTAACCAGTGAAGCGAAATGTTGCAAAATGTAAAATCTATTGGTACATTATTGATTAAATGAGGTCGACTACCAAATAATAATAAAAAACTGTCTTTGAACCTAATATATTTACTTTGTTTGTTGTGAGTTTATTGGAGAGCTAATAAAAAAATTTAAATGAATTTTACTTTTATATTTGGGCACTTTTATGCTACTACACGGACTATGTTTAACAAAGATTCTTGAACCACGTCTCAAGTTTTTCTCTGAACCTATAATACAACATCAACAGAGCACAGAGCCGCTTGACTTCTCGTTCAACCCTGAGTATGAGCCAGAATTCAAGTTCTTCGACGGATCATTGCTTGCTGCGGTGAAGAGGGGAGACCAGGAGGTTCACGACTTCTTTCGGTTGCTCGCACTCTGTCACACCGTCATGCCTGAGCAGAAGAATGGACGGCTAGAGTACCAGGTATCTATACAGTTGCCGATTTTACAGGTGGTAGAGTTTCTGTGCAGAACCTCATTGGGTAACCACCCATCTTACTGTCTACCGCACAACTGCAAAGCTGTGTTTCAGATTAGAGAGTAGTGGAAAATCAGCGCAAAGGAGACTTAAAATATTAATATCTCACGATTTGATCTATTGAAACAGGATTACTATCGCAAATGTCTACAGGCGACAGTAACTACGATATAAAAACATCAGTGGGGCTAGCACAACGGGGCGCGACATGCGCGAGAGCGACATAAAACGCGAGATACAGCTATACTTGCACTAAGATATCTCGCGCATGTCGCGTCCCGTTGTGCTAGCCTTACAGGTTGACTACTGACTATGCGCGAGTTTTAATGAAAAACCAATGTACATTTATCTGTGTCTTTGGGATTTCTTGTGAATAAGTCTACAATATCGAGAATTGAATCTAAACTGGTCAATATGTGCTCTATATATATGTAATTTGTGGTTGTCTATGTGTGTGTCCATAGCACCCGCGACACAGGTTTTCCCTAGTGCGGGGCTATGTTGAGTGTGTGCGTTATTATTATTATTATTATTATTATTATTATTATTATTTGCTTTATTCTTCTCGGCTTGTTAGCTGGTTTGAAACGCATTTACGGAAGTCAAGTATTATTATTAGTATATAAACAACCTACTACAATGAAAAGCACGTCAAGTTGGACTGTCCTTATCACAAGCGTCATAGAGTTGAATTTAACTCTTAAGCTTGAAAAGCTCTTAACCCTCCACTTAACTAATTAATCCCATAAAGGATCACTTTTAAATGGCCTTTCTTCTCTTGTAAAGCTATCGTTTTTTGTTCTCATGCGCCTTGTTGACATTGTTTTTCTTTATAAAATAAATTGTTATTATTATTAATTTAATGACGAACCCATATTTTTCTTTATTTGTGTTACTGCGCTGACACATTATAAACAGATCACTTCTTGTCTAGTTTAGATTGATGTCTGCTTGTGTGTGTGTGTATTTATAACGGTGTATTTGCCTACAGGCGCAGTCTCCTGATGAGTCTGCACTGGTATCGGCCGCCAGAAACTTCGGCTTTGTGTTCAGAGGACGGTCGCCTAATAGTATTACTATAGAAGTTATGGGAGAAAAGGAGGTAAGTCTTATATATTATATTAACAATTGAATGGTTAATTCAGAGTATCGTTTATTGTACTTCACAAACATATGTAGTTAATTTGAACATGACTTTCCTTTGTTTCAGGAGTATGAGTTGTTATGTATATTAGATTTTAATAATGTTAGGAAAAGAATGTCCGTGATATTGAGGAAGGATGGTGAAATTAGGTTATATACAAAAGGTGCTGATAATGTAATATACGACAGATTAAAACCTGGAAACCAGGCGGATATCAGATCTAAGACGCAGGAGCATTTAAATGTAAGTAACACTGTAATTTAATTAAAATGTATAGAAAATAGTAGATTTACACTCCTCATGATTTACTGAAATCTTCACACGAGTAAATTGAAGAATTTTAGACATTATCAATTTGTCTTTTTCACTTTTTTATTTAGTCAAGTTTAGTAAAAATTTTAATAACTACGATACTTTCTATGAAAATGTTATCCCCACGTAAAAGTGTCCTGAAATACAGGACGTGAACATAGTATACTCTCCCCCACAATATTACCATAGTTTATTATACTTTTCTGTTATATCGATGCTGGAAATTAGAAATGTCGTAAGAGACATTTTATCATAAGGGAAAATGACCTTAGGGCAAAATGTCTCTTAGGACATTCGATGTAAATGTATCGAATTTTGAAATGTCGTAAGCGACAATTTGTAGTAAGGAACATTTTCCATTACGACAAAATATTACGACATTTAAAATTTCCACTGTCGAATTGTACTGTGGTGACAAATAAAAATACTTTTATCTACCCTTTCTGACAAAATTCATAAATTTCCATATATGTTACAAAATCTATCTCCTTGTATCCAATTTTTTATTATTATTAATAATAAGAACTTGATTGTTTAATTAAAACAGATATGGTTTACGATTATTTTTAGTTATTTAATGGGATTTTGCTAGATAATGGAAATAAACGTATCTTAATACAATTCACACCTTTTGGATACATGGACACTTGGAGAACCGTTTTCGTATACACTCTGATATTTGGGACAGTGAACGTGTTAATAATAATAATACTTATCTAAAATCGGTATTTCCGTTCAGAAATTTGCGGGCGAAGGCCTTCGCACATTGGCGCTGGCGTGGCGGCCGCTTGACGAGCGAGGTTTCACGGAGTGGAAACGGCGGCACCAACAGGCCGCGCTTTCTATGGACGACCGCGATGAGAAGCTGGATGCCATCTATGAGGAGATCGAGAAGGACTTGCTGCTCCTAGGTTAGAAAACTTCTTTGTATCATGTATAATTCCCTTAGTTCTATCTTATGTGTGTTAACGAAAGCTATATAATATTTTTTATACTTTAATGTGTATATTACTCATCACTTGCAATAACTATCACGTTTATACAAGATAAGTTACGGATTTCTTTTGGGTATAATCAATTAAAAAACAAAATGAACAACACTAAAAGATATTGGTGGGGTTTTAAAAAAAGCGATAGGGAAGTGCGGGCGAAAGGCCTTTTTTTCAAAAGTTTTACGTTTTTTGAGGCAATCTATACCTGATTAAAGTAAATGTGTGTTATAGACATATTGTTTTGTTTTAAAGGTATATGCCGTACTAATATATGTATGTATGTACATATCAATACTTCGGGGCAGAAAAGAAACGTCTTAAAAGCCAATTTTATCAAAATGGTATATTGATGTAATTCTGTCTGTGTCGCCGAAGAAATATTTATCGTCATAATATTATTTTTAATAATACTAAGTGACGGGACGAACAAGTGCCTTGTGGTGAGCGACACCCCTGTCCGTAACAGTTGCAGTGCCACTCAGAGCTTTAAATCGCAAAGATCGTCTCCCTGAGACATATGTTGACAAGTCCCTGTGCCTGTAATTTCACCAGCACCTTTACCCGTCCAAACCGGAACGCAGTAATGCTCACATTACTGCTTGACGATCTCTTTCACAAGGAGCTCTACTGCTACTTTAGCAAATAAAATATGAAATTTTGACGTATAAATAGCTAAAAAAATGTATCATAATACAACAACGTAAAACATTTATCTTTACAGATTTTCGCTCGCCTTTGCAAACTTTATAGTTTTACTTTTTTTTTTTTTTCTTTAAAGTATTCACATGTACCCCAAGCAAGCAAAAATATAAAAATGTTCCATAAACTCGGAAAACAAAATATTTCAACCAGCCGAACACACAACAACAATGCAGACAAAGCTTTTCGAAGTGGTCAATTGTCAAAGAACTTAATTTCAAAACAATTAAATCTAAGTATTATTTAGTGATAATCGAATAACTTGTTCGTTACAGGTGTAACAGCGATAGAAGACAAATTACAAGATGGAGTGCCGGAAACCATAGCAAACCTTAGTATGGCAGGAATTAAGATCTGGGTTCTGACAGGTGACAAACAAGGTAATTTGAAGAGTTTTGACTCATTTTTTACATAGCAGCTTAACAAAAGTTCTGTTTAACTTCCACATCAAAGAACAAAACGAGATGCAAAATACCTTTTAAATATTGAAATATTGGTACGCTTTACTACTTTACAAAAATTATGATCTATAAAAATACGTATTTCAGTCATAAAGACGGTCATATAGCGGTGATGATGATGATGTCCCAGTTTCGATTCCCAGTAAGACAAATTTGGGAATTTGGGTCTGGGTGTTCTGGGTAGTGCCCTTGAGTGGTAATTGCGTTGCTTTAGTTCTCATAGCAAGAGGAAATTCTTAGTTTGAGCAGGGCTGCGTCAGTCACTCAAGGTTACGCGATAGGTGCCTACTGCTGAGTGCACTGACGTCGGCACAAGCGCTCATACAATTATTATTTATTAGACAACATCACATACAATGTTCTGATCCCAAAGTAAGTACCTAAAGCACTTGTGTTATGGAAATCAGAAACAACGGTGGTACCACAAACACCCAGACCCGAGACAATATAGTTAAAAGTTTGTTTCTACACTGACGCGGCCGGGGATCGAACCCGGGACCTCAGAGATGGCGAAACCATGAAAACCGGTGTGCAAGCCACTCTACCACTGAGGCCGTCTTTCATTTATGAGCATTGGCCTCCGCACGACTGCTCACGGCGGGCAACGTTATTTTCACCTCTGCGCGCTTGCTTAGGTTCCTTTTTCTTCGTAGTGAGCGCCCAGTGTCATTAGTCAGGTTTAGTAAGCTATTTTAGCGTAGGAATTTTCGATTTTGTATGAGAGCGATGCATCTGTTACGTGTAACTATTAAGTAATCTGTGGTTTAGTTACCAGGTGATTGCTGTGTTTGTCTAGCCAATTTTTTTGTGTCTTTTTGTACAGTAAATGGACTTAAAAAGTCGCGGTAGCTTTGATTCTCAAACAGAAGATCGTTCGAATTCGGGTTTGCGTCTTGAGTTTTTTGGAATTCATGTGTGAAATTTACCAAGAGCTTTTCGGTGAGGGAAAATATCGCGAGGAATAATCCTGTCCACATCTGCAAAGCAATTGAATGATGTGTGTGAAGTTCTCGGTTCGCATTTCCACGTGCGAAATACAGCCCAAGCGCTCTCACGATGAGAGGCCTGTGCCCAGTAGTGGGACTATATATACAGAGTATTTTTTTTTAATGGGACAGTATGGGAAAACTCGAAACCATAGAAGATACAAGGAATCTGTCTTAGGAACCATTAAATCTTTTTTTGTGAAAACAATTTTGACTTAGGAATGAAACTATTTTTCCGGATTTAAATCGCGTATATTTGTTTTTTCAAACAAACCGACGTTTCGGGCCCTTTACAGGTCCCATGGTCACGGTTGACTGAATTTTGACTTAGTCAAGTTTTAGGTCAAGCGTGAGTTGTCCATAAAAATGAATAAAATTGATCAAAAACTTTTTACTCCTAATCGACTCTGTTTCTGGATTTGTTCTTCATCACTACCTAGCCCTGGAGCAAAGATAGTTCGGTAGCTCATTCCATCGTATACCCACGAGCTTGCACAGAATGTATTTTTTTTACTCGCACCTTAAGTACTCGGGTTGTATGTGCTCGGAAGCACTGTTCCGTGCCTTTACTGTGCGCATAATAAAAGATGACGAAAAGCGCCTGAAGGAAATATTTCAATAGGGACATAACAATTTTGTGTTTCAATAAAACACGGAATAATTGAGATATCGAGTTGAAATTTATTCTTGGTGCACTACATAACGTTACATTTAAGAATGGAATTTGATCTCGTTCATATCAGTGCTTGCGGCGGCACTTTTGCAGCGTTCAATTCTTTGTAGCTGATTTTCCACCACTCTACCACACATATCGAACGAAATGTTGCGAACATTTCGTTTGATATTTTGCGTCTGATATTGTTCCTGTTTGTTCATTTAACGTTGTTGGTTTAAACCAACGATTAACCCTATGGGGTTACGTCGCAAAAGCAATCCAACGACGTTAGATCGCATGAGCGAGGTGGCCATTGAACCGGCCCATTACATGAGATTACACGATTATCGAACTTCCTCTTTAAAAGATCGATTGTTTGACTAATTGCAAACGTGTTCGCGGTGGTCATTTATACGAGATCGGATTCCTTTCTCAAATGTAACATGTGTACTGCACCTGGAATACATTTTAGTTCAATATCTCAATTATTCTGCGTTTTATTGAAATGCAAAATTGTTATATTGAAAATGTCCATATTGAATAACCCGATGCAAATTAACGTATTTTCTTTTAATTAACAGAAACAGCAATAAACATTGGCTACTCGTGTCAGCTGCTAACAGACGATATGGCCGAGGTGTTCGTGATTGACGGCACCTCGTACGACGACGTTGACAGCCAGCTCAGCAAGTGCCGCGACGGTATAAGAGTCGTCAACACGTTTTTGCCGCATGGTAAATAACTGCACTAGTGATGACATAGCTAAATAGTTATTTAAAAAATTGTTTAGTTCAGGCGTCATTCGGCAGTAATTGCATTAGCAGTAAATTATCAACATTTTTTCTTACAATATTGTGTTGGTAAGTCGTCAATTTAAAAAAATCGATTATAAAAATTTCAATAGTTTCTTCTTGATGTCCGAAATTTTTTATTTTTATTACCAATTATATAAAATTACAAAATAATAACGTTTTAAACGTTTATGTTCCTTCATTTTATACCAAAATAATTCAAACTAAATAATTTGTCAATCCCAGGGTTGCGGAATGTTTCCGATACAAAAGCGCATTGTACGTCAGCAAGCAACCGAAAAGAATAATCTGTTTGTTTTTAAGATGGAGTAAAATGACATTTGCAGAGTTACCAGATTTTGTAAAATTTAAATAGTCATGTAGTAATTGTCGACAACTTAATCGATAGATTGTGAAAGTAGGTACAATTTTGCAACAAACAACAACAACAACCTGTGCCCAACAGTTGGACGTATAATGGGCCGATGATGAATCAAATGAGACAAGTTCGGCTATTTTTTTCATAACCGTAACCAATATTCAATCTATAGGCGACAAAATATTTATCGACTGCAATCACTAGATGCTTGCAAGTGCGAACACTTTGTCGCAATGAACTGTAATTTTACTCCATTTTCAAAAATACAGACTATAGGTAAATGTAATAAGTATTCGATTATCCGACCACTATTAACTACTTTTTCATCAGGTCATTCGGACCCGAAGCCACAAAACGACACTGCGAACGGCGGCAGCGTCGTCACGCGACCATCGCCCGGCCGATCTGCAAACGTGAAACTCAATGCGCCCGCGGTATCGGTCGTCACATTTAGGTGGGAAAATAACACAATGCACCACAGGTAGAGAGACAAAGAGCTATACACTATATCAATCATGCTCTTCCATCTGTACTGTGAACTGTGTACTTGTCTACAAATGTTTACATGCGCTTCATTGCAGTCCTCTGTTGTGTACGAAATCGTGATTGTGACGTATCGATTGTCGGGTCATACCTAAAGGGCAAAATACATGTGCATGTGCATTTTGAACTTAGTTGGTGGACCTCCCTTATATTAATAGGAAATCAGATAAATTATCTACATATTATATACAACCGCGCCAATTTCACACCCACACTGCATCTTATGTATGCAGTCTCTAACATCTGTGCCTCTACCAAGAGTTTACAGAGATAGTTATCGCTATACTAAAGACAAACAAGGATGATCCCTTCACTTCATTTGACGTTTGTCATAGGCATAAGGTAAAGTTGATAGATTTTTAGTGTATTTGATTTTTCAAGCATAGGTTCTCTCTTATAGTTTTATTTTTCTGATGTATTCGTATTATATAAATGTGTGAAGTGTTTTAAATTTATATTGAAAGCATAAAACACACAACTATAATTCAGATGCAATTATAATTGGTATTTTAGTAAAAACTTTTATCATTTTTATTAATTCCATAGGTAAAATTTTTACACTTGAAAACGTCATTTTTAAGCTACTGCTCGTTCACTGCTCTGACCTTCCCGAGAAGAACGAGCAAGAAACTACTATAGCGATTAATCTTTTCAAATAAACTCAAATGCTACGGAATACACTTTGAATCATAATGACACATCTTTATCTAACACATACCTTCATCTGCCACCGCTTCACGCCCCCTTATACCTTTAGTACAAGTGGCGGTCTCATTGCAATTTTGTTACTGATTCGTCATACTCTATCTTCAGGCTGTCTAGTCAACAAATACTGTATCTAAGTTAGTAATAAACATTGTGCAAACTTACCAACTGTATTGCCGGCCAACCAGCAGACGCCTGATAGATGCCTGTACTGCCGTGTTAGTTCCCTACTCTTAGGTATCATAACAGACTAAATTTATTAATGCTTGATATTACAAAACTAATACTAAATCGCGAAATAATTCGCGACACATGGCACCCGCGCTACAGGGTTTCCCTAGTGCGGGGCTATGACTGTGTGCGTTATAATTATTATTCTCTATGGAGGGATCGTCTCTTGAATCCCTATGGCGGGATATACCTATGACTGATTTTTAAGTTGCGTATGTTCCTGAAAGTTTAGAGATATTCTTACGCTAATGGTGAAGGAACATGTATCTCGACGACAGCTCATAGCTGTTGGAAAAAACATGTGAGTGTGCAATTTGCATTGTGGCAGCGTGGGAGTTTATGCCATAATTCGTTCCCCCTTAAGAAGAATAGTACCCGTGCCCAGCAGCGAGACGTATAATAAAGTTGATGATAGTGGTGATGATGATCTGCGTCTACACAGAAAACGTGCCCTGCGCGCGACTTCTCTTCTGCATTAACTCCGTTTTTTAGTAGCAATAGAGCTCCTTGTGAAAGAGTTCGTCCAGGGAGGTACTGCCACCTTGCCTATTTCTGCCGCCAATCAGTACTTTTAATTACTGCGTTCCGGTTTAGAAGGGTATTAGGTGCTGGTGAAATTACAGGCACATGGGACTTGTCAACTAATGTCTCAGGGTGACGGGCGCAGCAGCAGTGTCTCTAAGGTCTTTGCGATTTAAAGCTCTGAGTGGCACTGCAACTCTTATAGACAGGTGTGTAGCTTACCATCAGGCGCACGACTTGTGCGTCCCGTCGCTTAATATTTAGAAAAAAATAAAAAAACTTGAGTCTTTCGGCGTTCGAGATATGCACGACTGGCAAGAGCACGTCAAGCTTGACGCTTTGTACTTTGGGCCGTTCTTATCGTAAGCGGCATAGAGTTGGATTTAAATCTTAAGTGTCAAGCTTGACGTGCTCTTGACCCTGTACGTGAGGAGATTGTTTGCGTTGACTTTATTGAATGGTAATAAATTCAATTATTTACTCTGCGTTGCACTCGGTCTGCGCTGACTCGTAACTCTAAGGTTGTGTTATGTAGATCATTTTATCTCCATGAAGCGTGTGTAATTATTTGCTTATGCCAGTGTAGCCAACTTCAGTTGTCGGTATCCGTTGCTTATGGGTTATAAATTTTTTCGCTATTCCGTAGTTGCCACATCACGTTTATTCAAAATTAATAGCTAAACAGCTAAGCAAAATTCTTAATTGGTTTTCTGTCAAAAACTTATTTTCATTGTTTGTGTTGTTTCTGTATTCCTAAACTAACGGTCACGGTAATATTATTGTTACAGGTAAAAATCCCTGTCAATAAAATTAAAGTTGTATTTATTTTGATAAGAAAATTGTCTATAAACAACTTTAATTGTTGTTGTTGACGATGTTATGATATTAAAACAGTGGATACCTTCCTTTATAAGGAACTCGTGATCTAAAGACTGAAGTTCTTTACACTTACTTCTTCTACTAACTCCACAGTGTGTTTCCAGCACCCTCATATTTGTTTGTACACAGCCCGAGTGCTCTTTTTCTCTCTAACCTGTAATAATTAACCCGATACCTAGAATAGCCCCTATAGGCATTCATACACAATGCTAATACCAAAGATCTTATACGGCACGTCGTCCCTACCATGCAGGTTGTGCAAGAAAGCTGAGGAACGCAAATGCCTGTGTGAAAGAGATAGCCTCAGCTTTGATTGTTCTATCTGTAAAACTGGTGGGACTTGCCATAGTCATCATACTAGTTAAAACACGATCTACACCTTTCTGACCCCATTTGATCTCGTGATTATCGGATGAATTTGCATAAATAAAAAGCAATTGTCCGGTAATGTTCATATTATTGAAAAAAATCGGAATATTCAACTGACAGCCCTAAGCACATACTAAGTCGATAAAAAGGTAAAACTCACAAAGTCCCGCTTTGATCAATAAGGGGCTTTTCTATTTTTGTTTCATTGGGAAGAAAATCAACAAGACAATTTTAGTAAGTGCGTAGTGTCTTTCGTTATAAAAGCGCATTTTGAAAAAAGTGTGCATATCACATTATAATCCCTTTGCAAGTAAAACACAGAATCTTAATTACATCCATTAGTCTGTTTGGCTTTTAAGTGAGTGTTGGCTTTAAACTGACGATACACAAACCAAAGCTTAGAAACTGTAGCCCGTGCTATTCGAACAAACTACAATATCACTCAAATGAGTAAAGTACGCAGTAAACGCTTCTGCAAATGGCGCGGAAGGTGTAGATCGCCTTTTATTAGCGAGTATCTTTTGCTTCCTGAATATAAATTTGAGTTAAAGAAAAATTATTTCCCTTATGACTAATTTCATAAATAATTGAATTTTTTGAAAACAATTACTTTAGCTTACATTGACGAGGTGTGGCTGAATGTCAGTTGGTTGCTGCTGTGCTTGCTTCAGTGCCATTTGACATTGATTGTAATGCGTTTTAACTCAATAGAGGTAAACAACAAAGAAAAAGAATTCGACTTTTTGAAGATTTTGATAATCTTAAACATAAACGAACTCAAAAGAAGTTAATACGAGCGTCTAGAGTGCGATTGATTTTGCAGCAATGAGTACGTGTCAGGCGGTGGACCGTACTCGGCGGAGTCTCACGAACACACCAACGACGATTCTAATGGATTTGCTATAGTCGTCAATGGACATTCGCTTGTGCACTGCTTGCATCCGAAACTTGAGGAAAAGTGAGTATATGAAACATTGATGTCATTGAATAACGTACAAAAGTTTCTTAACTATGGTTTCTTTTACTGCAAGTCTCGATATTCCAACTCATCCAATCATCATCTTTGAATTAAACCTTAACTGTCAAATACACCAACACGCCGACACGCGACAATGTACCTATATAGGCTATGTCATACAGGCTGTCTCACGGCCATGTAACATGGAGGGAAGTGCTTTAAATATGTAAGATACTTGTTGATGTTACAAATTTTTTTAGTAGTACTAGAGCTTCTTGTGAAAGAGTTCGAGAGAAATACTGCCTGCCACCCTACCTATTTTTGTCGCCAAGCAGTAATCTGAGCATTGCTACGTTTCAGTTTTGAAGGATAAAAGCGCTGATGAAATTACATGCGGACGGAACTTTTCAACTTACGTTACTGAGTGACGGATGTAGTGGCAGTGCCCCTCAGGTCTTTGCGATTTGAGGATGAGAATAAAATACGTTCACGTACTCTTACAAGAACCTATGATGCAATGTTCTCAGGTTCTTAGACGTGGTGCTGCAGTGCCGGTCGGTAATCTGCTGTCGCGTGACGCCGTTGCAAAAAGCGATGGTGGTAGAACTCATAAAGAAGAGCCGGAAGGCCGTCACTCTGGCCATCGGCGACGGAGCTAATGATGTCTCGATGATTAAGGGTGAGATTCTATAGTACAAATGATTATAGGGGATAAGCTATAGTCTGTCTCTTGAACACGGAGTAAAATTTGTAGGGTTGCAGTTTTCATAAAATTATTATGTAGTTGTTGTCGATAGTTTTATCGATACATTATAAAAGAAGATAAGATTTTGTCAAAAATGACTGAAATGAAAAACTAATGATTACTAATTGCGTTATTGCCCTCTTTAATCTTATTTTGGCAGTTGGCCTAATAGTAGCGAGATCAACTTTTGTTCATTTACATTTTAACCAGAATAGCCGGATTTGATTATCTATATTGAATTAAAATGAAAAACTTTAAAATATATCTCCTCGTTGTATTTTTCTTAAACATGTTCTAAATACAGTGTATATGTTATGTATGAACATACAAAAATTGACAATTAATTCAAATGAACTTGTGCTCAGTAATTTGGTGAATATTGGGTCGAGGAAATGAAACAAGTTTGGGTTTTTATTCCATACTGCCTCTGGCCGAACGGTTGCCATGCCGGACTGCCATCCAGAGGTCCTGGGTTCGATTCCCGGGTCAGGAAAAATATTTGTATGGCCTACATTTATTTCTCTCGTGAGTTTGGGTGTAATTTGTCGTTGTCTATGTGTGTCCATGGCACCCGCGCCTCAGAGTTTACCTAGTGCGGGGCTATGAGTGTGTGCGCGTGTGCGCGTTATACGTGTGACCAATATTCAGTTGATAGTCGATAGAATATTTTATAGACTACAATCACTAGTTGCTCGCAACACTTTTACGCAATGAACTTTCATTTTACTCCGTCTTCAAAAAAGACAGACTAGGCAATACCACCATCCTTACATCGATAAGCTAACCTCACGTTATACAACGTCTTTACTATGATTACCAGATTACGGTATATTGAGCTACAAATTAAACCAGTTTGGAAAAGTTTATTAACGTCATGCTTTGAAATATACTATAAGTGTATCACTATCGTTAAATTCATTAACCATAAGAAATTTATTCCTCCTGGTTAATGGTAGGTCATTTTTCTGGTAAGACAAGTGTTTCACCCGCGTTTTTGACTCGACTTGCTTGTTATCGACCGCAACTGCGTCGCAGATTTTGTATGTTTTCTTATTGTCATGGCGGATGGATCCAGGTTGGTATAAAATAATCATGGATGTCACTTACTACAACTACTTAAATGATCTTGTAATAAAAAATATTCTCTCTGTTTGGTTATTATTATTGATAATCACAAAGATCGAATAACACAGAGAAATCGATCGAGACTCTCAGTTGTACTCAGCTGGTAAATTCTTACAATTCGGTGGCCCCGGCATGGCAAGAGACGCTGGTTCGAGCTTATTCAGATCGAAGGTGTTTTTTTGTGTTGTTAAACTTATGTACAACAATAATAACTAATGAAAAATACAATACATTACAAAAATTCTTTATTGTACACCAAAAAAGGAAACAAGTACAATTAAATTAAAAATAAGCTGTGTTACAATGAGCGGTCTTATCGCTTTAAGCGATTTCTGCCAGACAACCTATGGATGGAAGTAATTATATAATTCACAGGAAAAAGACGGAATATGATGAATTACTAATCAATAGATAAAAATCAATAATTAAATGCAAATATACATATCGCACTTGACAACTAACATAGTATTATCTCAAAAATTGCGTTATATTATATTTTACCTCAAATTGCGTTATATTAATAATTTATCTGCAAAATTTCACTATAATGACGTGTCATTCATACACGATTTAATTTCAAAGTGACAGACCAACACTGTCGCTTTGAAACTAAATAGGTAATATTAATATAACATAAAGCCATTTTTTGAGATAATACTATGTTAGTCGTCATGTGCGATATATTTATAAATAATAAAACCAATATATATATCGTAGACTACTATATATTCTTACACCCATAGATATAAAATTTCTAAAACATAATTTCAAAACATAAAAATACATAAGCAGTTCAAGTCACACTAAAGTTAGGTAGTGTTCTTTTACCATATTTTTTAATATATTCAATGATTTCGCTTGTTGAATAAACAAAGGTAAAGTGTTCCACTAACGAATACCCTGAACAGTAAAGGACTTGTCGTAATACTGGGAGGTAAGCAATGGCATCTTAAGTTGGAGAGTTGAAGATGAGCGCAGAAGTCGGGGGTTATATTGATGGGCGAATTCAAATCACTCCTTAAGATAAGGTGATGTGTGAGGAATGAATAAGATGCAGTAAAGGAGATTAAGAATATGTGCATTCCGGCGAAATCTAATGGGTAACCACTTCAGCTCCTTGCGGTAAATGGAAACATGATCAAATTTCCTCAAACCATAAATGAAACGGATGCAAAAGTCTTGTAGACGTTCGAGCTTGTTGACCTGTTCTTCGGTTAAATCCAGATAGCAGCCATCAGCATAATCCAGAATTGGAAGAAGAAGAGTTTGGGCAAGCGCAATTTTCGTGGCAATAGGAAAGAAATGAAGTAACCGTCTAAGAGAGAGAATATGCACTAAAAATATATCAATATAATGGTAGTAAAACGTCATGATATTCAATGAATAAATATTGCAATATTCACTCTGTATAAAATAACTACGTAAAATCTGCTTGGCAAGAAAACGGCTCTAATATGTAACTGTAATTTTTCCAGCGGCACACATAGGCGTAGGTATATCAGGGCAAGAAGGCATGCAAGCAGTACTATCATCGGACTACTCGATAGCACAATTCCGGTTCCTACAGCGGTTGCTACTTGTCCACGGCCGGTGGTCCTACTACCGCATGTGCAAATTCCTGCGATACTTCTTCTATAAGAACTTCGCTTTTACCGTCTGCCATTTTTGGTTCGCGTTCTTCTGTGGATTTAGTGCACAGGTGGGTGTAATCTTTTTTACATTTTCTTTTACAGTTGATTGTTTAATCTGTACTAATTAATGCAGGTTGACCAAAATCATGTCCAATGTCGGACAAACTGTTTAATACTTCTTCTGTCGTTTCTAATGTTTTTACTTATTTGATAAAAACGGTTAGCAATAGCAATAAAATAAAATAATGATAACTTTCTAAACTACCAGACAACTCCCGTATACAACTACCGTAACTGAGGGTGAATTTACCGAATTGCGAAGTGTTTAGTATTTCTGAGTATATACAGCATTTGCTGAGCAGTGTGTAATCCTACACACCCGTACTGAATGATCGGGCTGTCAGGGTCAATAATTCGACTTGAATACGTGAGTTATCAGGCAGTTTAGTTAACGAGAGTTAATGAGAGTCATTCTCACGGTAGTTTTCCGTTTAATAATGGTAACTTGTATAATTGCAGTAAAACCCATGACGTCAGCAAATTTTATACCCAACTTTTACCGCAGTAAAACTCTTATGATTTTTTAAATTTATTGAAAATATTAATTTACTAAAATGAACTTTTTCTTCATACTTAATTTCGATTTTCAGACGGTATTCGACGAGATGTTTATCTCGGTGTACAACCTGTTCTACACGTCTCTGCCGGTCCTCGCCCTCGGCGTGTTCGAGCAGGACGTGTCCGACGCGACGTCATTGCAATTCCCGAAGCTGTACGCCCCGGGACACACAAGCCAGCTCTTCAATAAGACCGAGTTCATTAAGTCCACTTTGCATGGATGTTTTACGTCACTCGTGCTGTTCCTTATACCATATGGTAAGTCAAAGTAACACAAAGACCCGACTATATATGTACACCTACAACACAAATTATTCACACCATTTCGCAACATTATTTTTCTAAATTTTTTTACTAATTTTTTTCCACCAAAATTATATGCTACATCTATTCGTATAGAGGTGATGTTACCTACTGAGAAAAGTAGTCCTTCGTTCAGGAATAATAAAGTATTCATGACGAAATAAAGTATTCCTTCCACATACAAATTTTTGTTAGATTTCAGACATTTAGCATGTGGAGCCATTTATTTTTTAAGATAATTAAAAAAAAATAGCTCCACAAATTACTCAAATATCAATAAAATATACTCGCATTTCTTTGCTGCAGCCTGTAGAATGACATATTAATTCTTAGTGTGATTAGAATTAGGGTCAACTCTCTGCGTACTAATGCGTAATTGCATTTTTTAAATATTTTTTTTCTCTTTAGTATTGTAAGCAATTGTGTAAACATTTTATGTTGTTTGCTAAATGTGGAAATGCGTATTTAATTACTCACATTTAAGTATATCTATAATTGTATAATTAGACCGTGAATTTTCCTAAAGTGCATAAAATAAAAACAAATAAAAAAGTGTCATGATTAAAACTTGACAAACTTACAATTGCTGATCTATTATTCTTAAAGAAAAACGATTATACTTTATCAGTTTTATGAACTAATTTTAAGCGTAACGTAAACGTACTTACACTGTTTCGGTTTGATATTGTGATTACAAGAATAATTCTGAATGAATCTTTATTGTGTATTGACAGGTACTTACAAAGATGGTCTGGCGCCGGACGGCAAGATCCTGTCCGACCACATGCTATTAGGCAGCGTAGTTGCTACTATACTAATTATTGACAATACTACACAAGTGAGTATTAGCTGCTTTATTTCCTGATTTAGACATTGATGCATGTTGATGAGGTGAAAGATATGAGGATCGTAGCAAGTGGAAAGCTGTGTTTCTCAGCCTACACCGATGGGAAGGGCGTATTTTTTGTTAAATAACTCCACTAGTCTTGTTATGATTATGGTAAAGGTATCGGCTGCGGTGAAAAGGTCATTCAAAAATCTCTCACTAGATGCCGCTAGTGGCGACAACACATAAGAGAATTTCGACGACTTGGTCAAGCAATCTCAAGCAATGCTACGGTGCAGCATGGACCTCGGTTCAATTCCCACGTCGATGAAAATTGTTCTGTGTATTTGATCTTTGTATTCATAATCATAAGATTTTTTTATTCACGAAAAATCTTGCAATACACGCCCTTTTATTCTTAGTACTTTTGAAAATCCTTTTATAAATACAACTTAAATCTGGCTGAGGATGTTGTACAACGAGGTCGACCTTTTCTTGACTTTTTATCTGTGTCCGCTTTATTGATTTGTGTCATGTGATATTCATAACATCCATTCTTTCCATATGACCAAATTCGCAACATTCCCAATTCTATCCTAGACACCACATCGTCTTTAACTTTGATTCAATACTTGTTGAATTTACCACGATCTGCTGCTGACTAATTCTTATTTTGCTTTTCTCTGCGTTCAGATTGCACTCGACACGACGTACTGGACGGTGTTCAACCATATCACGATCTGGGGCTCCCTCGTTTCCTACTTCGTGTTAGATTACTTCTATAACTACGTGATCGGCGGCCCCTATGTCGGATCGCTCACAGTTGCGCTTACGCAGGCTACGTTTTGGTTTACTGCTGTGCTCACGGTTAGTATTTTCCTATATTGTCACTCGATAAGACTTTGTATTACGTGAATTAGCAGTCACAGAGTATAGATAAATATTATTAGCCATTCAAAAGAAGATTAATGTTACTCAATAGTTGGTAAATGTCGTCAGAAAGAGATTAGACGGCACCAAGTGAATCCTATAATTACTATTGGCTCATTCAAGTTAGGTTTTTTTTTTGTAATGGCAAGGACCTGGTGGTAAGCGACACGCCTGTCCATAGCAGTTCCAGTCCGAGCTTTAATTCGCAAAGATCTGAGGGGCACTGTCGCTAAATCCGTCACTCTGGGACAAGTTGACAAGTCCCTTGTGTGTGTGATTTCACCAGTACCCTTAGTTCAATACCGAAACGCAGTAATTCCCTGGACGAGTTCTGTCACAAACTCCACTGCTACTAGGTGCCCTAATGACAAGAATCATTGAATGCACGCAGATGATAATCCTGATGCTGCCGGTGGTGTCGTGGCGGCTGGCGTGTTCGTGGATGCGGCCGACGCTGGCCGAGCGCCTGCGCGCGTCGCTGCGCCGCCGCGCCGCGCACCCGCAGCCGCGCACGCCCTCCACCAAGCGCGCGCGACGGTGCGTACCCTCCGGCTGTGCCGCTTTGGTTGCGGGTTGCGGGTGCTTTTTGATGACCATGCACCTAGCCCGTGAACGAGAATAATTGTCGAGTTTATGACGGTCAAGCTACGAAAAGAAAACAAAACCTGTGCCATATTATATTATATGGAATATATTCTTAGGTTTTCGCAATTGGTAATGACGCTATGGTTTTCGGATCGCATGTCACTTACAATTGCATATATTCCATTCTAGTATTTTAGCAATAATTTGTGTTAGTTTCATAATTTGGTGGTGGTATTTAACGGTGCTTGAATAAAGCATTTTGTTCCCCAGCAGGTCGGTGCGGTCCGGTTATGCATTCGCGCACCAGGAGGGCTTCGGCCGGCTGATTACCTCGGGCAAGATCATGAAACGTATCCCGCATATGGACGCGGCAGTCTCCGCACTGGCAGCTCTGCCGGGAAAATTCCAACAGCGGCCTGCTACGCCTCCAGCGTTCGAAACCTCGCCGCCATCACCGCCTTCGCCTCCGTCGCCACGAGCCCCAAAGCAGGACCTGGGTTCCGTGGAATTATGAGCAGCGTCGGTCTCCTTTCGGTTGGATGTCGCTACGGCGCAAACACAGGCACTGCCGCGTCTGCATTGACGTTGCACCCTAATGGTGTTCGAGCCGTCGTCCAGTACCCGTTGGTATACGGTTTACGTTGTAAGTGATGCACGTCTGGGCGTTCGGGCCGTGCGGTTGGCGACCACGATCTCTGGGTCCGCCGCGATTGAGGCCCCAGCCCAATCGGCCCAGTCGGCGGACCCTCTCGCTTTTGTACTTATTCCTAAGACTTGTAGAGTAGCCGCGCCCCGCCGGCCCGACCGCTCTGTGAACAAACGGACTGCATCTCCATTATCGTAGTTATCTTTCTTAAAAAGACGAATTGTACAATATAAGATCGAGTTTGTAAATACTTAAAGAATTACAAACGAACCATAAATTTATTAAAGACGGCATAATGTCGTCGGAAACTCATAATGTGATAATGTTAATAGATTTAAAAATTCGTATTATTGCCTATATTAAATTATATTTGTTGATCGAGAATATATATTGATAGATATTTATTATGGTACATACTAAGATTACTCTTTTATATCGGAAAGCGTAGTTATTTCGTAATGTTCCTTTACATGTGTAGTGACAAAGTAGTTCCGTTACACGAGAGCACTGCCGTTTGGTACTGTTTTAGTTGAAGACGATATTGTATCACTCACTTGGAAAAAGAGATTACAGTATTGATGAAAATCAAAACTTCAATTTGTTACCGAAATCATGACTTAAAGCTTCTAATTCCGATCCGCCCATGATCATATTGTTATTTCTTATTTTGGTTACTCTTTTAAACTGTGTTTTTACTTGCTTTTTGATTGTCGTCTGTGTCCGAGGCCCTAGTTAAAATGTGCATTTAAACTTGATTGTGTGGTTCGCAAGCAGTTGAATTGCGTTTACGTGTCGCAATTTTATCTTGACCATACTGAATGCGAGGCTTGTAGGAATGTCGTATTTTGCTCTCGAATAGTTCACTATAATTTTGCACTTGATTTTTGTTTAGTATGGTACAGATAATAGTTGGAATAAACGATATTTCATGAAGCACTTTGCGTCATATCTTTTTTTTTAAATATTTTTTCTAGCATAAGGCAATTTTTTCGGATCTAAATTGGGTTTTCGGTCGAAGTTTCGGTGCGTGGGATATGGAGTAAAGCCGTGACCATGGGACCTGTAAAGAGCCCGAAATATTGGTTTGTTTGAAAAAGCAAATCTGCGCTATTTAGATCTGAAAAAATTGTGTCATTACCTATGTGTATAACCTAAGAACTCAATATTTTTTCATCCTTCCTCAAAAAAATTGAATACACTGCCGCCAGTTTTTGGTTTTTCCGAAAACTACAATTTAAATCTGTTTAAGGCTAGAGTGAATAGGCATGTAGACAGATAAACGCATAACAAAGGACGTCTGCCACATGTCGCTTAATATCAGGTGGGAATGTGGTCATGCCCTACATTAAAAAAAATATTCTGTAATTGCATCAATGCCAAAGGTAACGGCTAAAGGTCGTATCATTTGCAAATTACTGTAATATGTGGAATGTATGACAGTTGAACTCGATGATCTCGAATTTCAAAATAATACAATAAGAAACATAACAGGAAATTTTAGTTAGAGAGCAATTTTCATCACCTTATGGTAAGGGACATCCGCTCCAATCATTTTAAGGTGCCTATAGATTTACTCGATATTTTGGAAAATCGAGTAAACGTGTAAGCGACAGACGATCGACAACGTATTTTTTGTGGGTGGAATTGTGTGTGTGGAATTTATATTCATATTTATTATAATATAAATTGTTATATTATATAATATTATTATTAAATAAGGCACACCCTCAACATCAAAAATTGAGCAAATCTGTTTTCTCCTTTCGACATATTGTAGACGTTTCGCATCTTTTTCTATACAAATAAAAACTATCTGGATGGGTGGGTACACGACATTGCCACCTCTATGTTACAACAATATTACTTGCTTACTTGAACCAAACTTAAGTTATTTTTACTTTCTGGCTGAAATTTGCTAAATCACATTTTACATTCCCTGATATATCGGTCGAAGTCACATCGCCAATTCCAGTAACTTCTTGCATCAATTAGTTTCAACTATTTACATGTTCGCTCTTGTAATTTCTTTGCTTACAAGGTCACTGGTGGTTTGATTGTTTGCGAACTATATTAAGAACCTGCTTTGGAATCATTTTTTAATAAAAATGTAATTCTTATATCAACTTTTTTAATTACCTCCATCTACCCTTTTCCTGTGCGATTTGCTGGCTCCCCTCAGAGGCGGCTTCAGGGCTCGAGCCAACGCCAATCAACAAACGAAAATTTTAATAGTTGACTATGTAGTAAATAGGCTCACTATAATTTAATTTCCCTATGAATATTTCATAGTTTATTTGTAACACTTCAATCAATAAATATAATTTAAATTGTATTCTTGTTATTTAGTATTCTTTAAAACGACTGATGTCCAGACTTGCTTCCCTGGCTCACATTATCATAGCAACTGTTTTTCATCATGTTATAGGCAGTGGCCGTTCCCGTACTGTTAAAAGTGGACATAATTTTTGGAGTTTGCTTCGCTCGCCACTCCTTATAGCCATAGCATTGGCTATATATATTTATCCTCAGTTGAAAAAATAAAGAGGTCGACCTAGGCGCAGTTACATAGACCGAATAAAGGAAAAGGCCGGTGTCGTGTCATATAAGGTCAAGCTGGCTTATAAGAGAGATACTGGAAGACGCTCCACCGACAAGAGTATAACTCTTAAGTTTGTGTGCCTTATTCCAGCGTGACCTGATCGAGTTTTGGAAATTTGACTAGCCAGAAAAAAGTCCCTATTTAGTCGGTTCTAGAGGAAAAAAACTAGATTTAGTCGGTCCGCCGTTCAAAAGTTTTATAACTTATAGGGTGTTTCACTGTCCACGTTGGAATAAGCTTATTTTAGCGGCACCATTTGTCAATTTCGAGAACCACAACACCTAGCTTAGATCTGATTACACTAAAAAAGTCGTGATTTAGTCGGTTCTAGTCGTAAAAAACTAGATTTAGTCGTTACGCCATTTTGAAGGTATTAAGGTGTTTCACTGTCCACGCTAAAATAAGCTTATTCCGGCGGCACCATTTTTAAATCTCGAGAACCACAGCTCTTAGCTTAGGATTAATATAATTCACGCCAAATAAAATTTCAAAAGATAGTCGTAGACTATACTAAACGTAGAACATAATATGAGCCTTCGAAATATATTTTTCCAATTTTTTTAAAAAAATGTGGAAAATTTCCAATAATTGAAATTTTTCGCGGAAAATTACCCAACCCCAGTGTTAGGCAAAATTTAATTGTTCGGACAATTAAAGATTGACAATTAATTAATTGTCAATTGCGAAACAGAATTGCGGTTCTCGCAACTAACAATTGATCAATCGTTAATCGTGTATATCTACAATTAATCAATTTTCAATCTGGGCCCCCCAACCGGCTCCACAACCGGTCCCCCAGCCGGCCCCCCAACCGGCTACCGATAATAATAATAATAATGTATAACTCAACAACACTAGGGAAACCCAGTATCGCGGGTGCCAAGGACACACACACATAGACAACCACAAATTACATCCAAACTCATGTGAGAAATAAATGTAGGCCATACAAATATTTCTCGCAGCCCGGGAATCGAAATTGGGACCTCTGAGCGGCAGTCCGGCAACATCAAGTACATTATAAACGCATAATAGCTAACATTGTCTTGTGAAATTATGTTGAAATTGTAATTCAATTTTCCGCAGTGTTGTGGTAGTTCGAAAGTAAGCTTTTGAATTTTCTACTTTAATATTACTAAATTAACGACAGCAAAAAGTAGGTACAGTCAAGAGAACATCAAGCTTGGCACTTTGTACTTTGGACTGTTCTGTTCGTGTAAGCGACATATAGCTGTATTTAAGTACATGTAAAAAAAAATCAATAATTCTGTCGTCACTACCTCGGTATAGTAGTACAGTACATAGTACCAGTTACAGAGTACGTAGCCTATAAATATATGTATAAACAATATTATTGCGTTATACACGACTTTCGATTGCGCAAAGCCATATCGATAATATCAATAGTATTGATTATTTATGCGATAGTCATGATCGATAGTATCGATATTATCGATAATGTCGATTATTTATGCGATAGTCATTATCAATACTATCGATAGTATTGCAAGTATTCAATATTATCGCTATTTTTATGCTATATACTATCGATAGTATCGATACTATTAATAGGGATATCGATATTATAGATGATTTTCGAAATCTTTTTTTCACACTTCTTTATTTATTTTCTATCTTTTTTCAACACTACCAACTTTTAGGCAAATAGATATTTCTAACGCTCCATTGTTTTTGTTCTTCAACCTTTGACAGATGTCAATTGTCAAATACGGGTAAATATAGGAAAAACATTCGGAAAAATATTTATTTTTCTAAAAAATATCTTTACAAAATGAAAAATTTCGACTAAATATTATATGAAATTTTTCGGAAAATTAATTCAATCATGGAATTAGTATATAGGTACCCATAAAGCTATGAATCCAACAGTCTACCGCTTGATTCAAGAGTTTATCCCTTACTGAAAATAATAATATCAAGCTTTAATATGTATATCGATAGCTACCCACCTTCCCAATCCTTTTTCATCCAAATTCCATACCTCTTCCATAAACTGAAATTCTGCTTTCAAAACCCTTTCAATAGCTAAATGCGAATGCAAAGCCACTAATATTAAAAAATATATATGTCACTGTCACTGTCAATCCTATCAATCAAACGTGAATCAAACAGAATTAACTCAATTAACAGAACGTGGAGACTCAGTGGAGACTTGGAGAGGTTATGTTTAGATGACGGTGTTTTGTTTTATTTCTCAAAAAACCTGTTAGAAATGAGTGAATATTATCACATAGTTCCTTGGTTCAACAGCGCGGAGTGGCTCAAAGTATATGAATTAATTTATTCACCAAATTCGACCTTCGAAACTAAACAAGAGGCGCTAAAGCAGTTATTGGTATGGAAAGCTAGATGTCCATCATTACCTTCGGGCGTAGAATCTACGTTAACTTTACTAGAAGTATATATTCAAGACGCGAAAATTTCCGGCGATGCTATCAACGAGCAGTTACTCCGTTTGGCGTATTCGTCAGCGATTATGCGTTTTGTAAATCACATGCTTGATACAGAAACCGCGCGGGGCTCCAGTTTGTATCAGGCAGCGAAAAACTTGGGTGTTCCCGACTGGATAATTGATATGAGACATAACACGGCCCATAGTAGTAATCTACCATCCATTGAGATCCTCAGAGATGCCTGTTCAATTAGTCTGGATTGGCTACAAAAATTTTACTGGGAGAAACACAAAATGTGCATAAAAGACTATGTAGCAGGACAAAAAGAAACGAATGTCAATGACGAAAATAAAATTGCTGTATTGATGAACTACTGCATCTCTCTAAGCATTTGCACACATTCACGATGTAAAATAAAGAATTTATCAGAAATACCTGATGTCACAATGAGGGAATCTATTGTGAATGATGTAAGAGATCTATTTGGGGATAAAATAGATCTGTCCAACTTAAAGACTGTGTCTATTATGTCCTTAGTTAACGCAATCAATTTGCAGTCAAAAAAGATGTTAAGAACTGCAAATGCTGTGACATATGTGAATAAAGCACTGCTTGGAGAAGATTCTTTATTTCTTTCTATGGAATTACTAAATGCAATGGGCAACAATGAATTCTATCACAAGAATCAGTTGAATAGGCCATATGTGCAATGCTTTGAGTTTATGTTGACATTTCTGCATTCAAATGATCTGTTGTTAGATTTCCTAATGGAGCTAATCAAGATATCTGAATATTCCAATTCTGACAAAGATAGAAGTCGTCTGGCTGCCCTCTGGGTGTCTGAGATTTTAGCAGCATTGAGAAAATCCAAATATTTTATAGATAAAATTAAAAAGTCAGTATTATTTGACTATTTAAACTTTTTGTCATAGGTCATAATCAAAATATACAACATTCAAAAGAATATTTTTAGCAATAGCTTTATTGACCATATGTCTGAATGAAACATTTATTTTAATTACATAAGTTTTATTTTTCAGAATAAACAAAAACGACTTTGAAAGCAAGAAGAGAAAGGATCTTAAGCTATTGTTCCACCACTGGTTTCCAAATGAGAAAGTTAATGGCCTGTTACTTGATTTACAAAAACCTGTTCCTAGGGAACTAATGGACTTGAATTTTATAAGGCCTATTATATCCCGTTATAATTTAAATTTAATATATTTTGTCAGAGAGCTTCTTAATTTAATTGAGCCACATTTGCCAAAAGTTACAACAGAAAAAATATGTAAACTTGCTAAATTGATTTCTAGTCCAAAGACTCTTTCTTCAGTGGCTTCCAAAATTTATACAGTTGATGATTTGAAAAAGGCACAAGAGCATTCAATAGATGATGACAATGATTCAGACTGTCAGATATATGAGGACATTGAAATAAATGGCGATAACAATACTGGACGAATAGCACACGGTATTTGGCAGTTGGCATCAAATACTTTCAACTGGTCTACTTGCCCACTTGGTCTTCTACCTTGGCAGCAAAAGTCTAATGAGGATACACAGACTGACACTTGATTATGCCAACCATGTTAGGCCTACTACAAAGCATTGGTGTCGTTTGTAAAATTGATATGCATTTCATTAATAAAACAAAGTAAATTTCCACAGCAATTGTTTATTTTTTTTATAGTTTGTATACAGTATAATGTTTTGGTTACATTTCATTATATTGACACAATATAGGAGTCCTAAAAATAAGTTGAACAATATACATGTTATTAATATATTACAAGATTCATTAATGATTAACATGTAGGAGAAACTTCACAGTCAAATAACATACAGGAATATAAATGTAAACGACATAGTGTTGGTCCTTAGAGAATATAACTACAAGTTTGACAAACAATATTGGAAATATCCCAGTAATATCATGTTAACTTAAGCTTACAATGTTCAACTAGAAGTACTCTCCACTGACATGGTAAAAAACTGGCTATGTCATCAAAATAAACACGTGTAAACAACGCTAACAGTGAATTTAGAATAATTTTAAGTACACATCTATAAAAGTTTGCTATTTTATAGAAGATAAAAGAATAAAAAGGCCACTTTAGATAAAGATAGATCAAAGAAAAAGCTTTGCATAGGACTGTATGGCCTTTACTACATCGACAAGAATTTACTAAATCTTAAATCTTAAGAAAAGAAAATCAAGTTTAGATTTTATAAAACAAACAATACAAATTTTAAATTCACATAGAGGCACCAAAAGGGAATTGTCAACATAGGGACTACTCACAGATTAAAAGCGTTCTTAATACATAAACGCAATATGGGATATCGGCTAAAATTGTATAACTAAATTATTTACATAATCGTACTTAAATGGAACTCGCGGTTATCTACATACACTTCTAAAGTGTCGTTACATCCTACATGTAGCCACATTGCACAATTACTCTTTACATAGAACTAAAGTTATGATTATGAGTATGTTTACTGATGGGGCATAGAAACAGTATACATAGTACTATAGTAACTATACAAAACAACTTCGAAAACACGTTTCGTAGTCTAAATATTATGTGTTTGACTCTAACAATAATATAATAAGGTTCTAACATATGTAAACGACAACAGTAACATCTAAACTTTCATAGACATGGACTGCTGAAAGCAAACTATTTGAAGGCACAGAAAATACAGTAGATTGTTGGTTGCGGCAAATGACTTGACGACAGATAAATAAGGAGCGAGTTCAGTGGCTCTATTGCGACTAAGCCTACGGGGAGTCGAATAAAATCATCAGCATCTTCGTATTTGTATTGCAGAAACTGTATACGCGGGGTAGCATGTAATTGTCTCACGAGTTTGTTTTGAAAACTAGCTTAAAGTTGGGACACTTTCGTTGCCTAAAATTAAGAGATATTTAAGCCCTTTTAATTGTGAGACTTTACTTACAACTAACCTAACAAATCACACCCTAGACATAAGTTTCTATAATAGATTGTATGTACAAAATGTCATTCGAGTTTGATTCATTAGTTCCATAACAGAATTAAAATTCGTCTATGTGGAGCGCGCTCGCAATGCCTTACCTAATAATTTTCGGCAGGAACAATGCAAAATAATTTGCGTTTACTTTTATTCAAACTCGCTCCGTATCTACTATGGTCAAGGTATTTGTCGCTACCTATACTGCGACACAACCCCAATGAAAGAGAAGTCAACAGTGTTCTATAAGTACATAGATATAGACATTGGATTTGTTCGGCACCTCGATGCGCATTTTATTTCCCAATAAGTTATTAATTTCATAAGAATAAAGGAACATCATCTTTTAAAAAGTTAGACGAAAAATAGCCACTATTTGCAATAGCATTCCTTGTGAGATTCAAACATTGTTTTCTGGCTTAACGTTTATTTTGTAAATAAAATGTAGTTCGATAAAAACCAAGAACTTAAATAAATTGAGCTGTAAATGTAAAAAATCTGCTTTCTGCGCTGTACAAACGTCATTAAATAAGATTTCACAGAGATATTCGTTGTCTGAATAGTAAATCATTAAAAACTATAAAGCGGAGAAAAAGATTTGTGACTTAACAATAAATTCAATAGCTTATCAATAGACAGTCTTTGAGAATATGAAAGCAAATATAGGAAAGTTTTATTAAAATATTGCTTTGATATTAATTGTATGGCAACCGGATTGAAAACCGGATGGAAAACTAAAATTTTGTGTCATGGTAATTACATGTATTATGGAAAAGTTGTGAGCTTATAATATATATAAATAAAAAAAATAGTCATTGGTGCATAAAAAGCAAGGTTTAAATTATTTTACAAACTATAAAATACGAAGTAAATAGGATGATGCTTCTGTTTAGTGAAAAGTTTTGATAATAAACACTAATTAAATATCGTATAATAGGTTTTTTAAAACGCAACTTATAGGTAAGAAAAAATTATACAAAAATTATCAATAAAAATGGTAATTATTTTACTAATAAAATGCTTTTGGAATGATCCAATTCATTAACAATTTAGTGACTCCAATAAAATCTTTTAATGCTTACTACCTATGTCGAAAATAAAAAATCACAATCGCCATGTCATTTTATAACGTGTACAATTCGTCAACGAAAAGGCAACTTGGAACACATAGTAAAACAGTAACCTTAAAGAAATCATACAGCTAATAATAATCACAAGATTTACATATGTACAGAGAGAAAATATGTCATAAAATATAATGTCAGTGCGTGGGTGATATAAATCCCATGTACGAAAAATATTTTATCAATAAGGCTCGGACTTCACGACGCCAATTCAACACCGGTCAGGCTGCATTCCACTACGCGCCAGCTTAGAATCAGCGATGTTAGAAAACTGGCATAAAATATCTCTATCTAATAAAATATCTTTGTCTAATCGTAATGTTATTCGATTCCAAAATAAAATATAAATGTGAGGAACTGTTAAGACTCGAACATCACTATCAACAAAATTCGTTTAAATCATTTTGGGAATCTGATCTAGCATAAAACGTCGTGAAACCCTGGTCTTGTTCATTCATTATACACTTAAGTATTTGGACACAAAGACCGATAGGTACTTTCTTGGGGCGTGAGGGCTCAGTACACTATGGAATAAGCTCATTACTAACTCTAAGTACGACAATATAACAGCACTGAAGATTACAATCTGTTACTGATTAACTTCGGGAACCATCTACGATTTAGGTCACAATTTTATACCTTTTAAAGGCACACGAGAAGATTTGAGAAGACGATACTCCTGTAATATCTAAAAACTTTTTGCTATTTACGTCCTTTGAAAATGAACTTTTAGTGTTTGTACATTCCAATTAAACATTTTTTAAATTTGAACAACAAATAAGTACTGTCTCAAAATTTTGGGTTTTTTTTTTGTCTCCTACAAGCTTACACAACCGCGTGTGACATAATTCATAGATGTCCTTAATAATAAAAAATAATCTCATTTAGTACATCCGGGTTCTCGCATATAATTTATAATGGCAAGAAGTATATCCAGGCTTAGATCTATCAGTATTTACGTTTTTAACGATTAGATCTATCATTTTTGGCATAATAGGTATCCTCTAGGACAATTTTCCATTTTCACATACAGCACTAGTAGTCACAAAGCCGTTGGTACGCGATCAACGTCTCTAAATTTCTTTAAATATTATTTGTTGTTAAAAAAATGACAGGTCGTGCTCATTAATTCAAATCAGTATAGTATTAAACTTGTCATTCGCTGCCAATGTGCTACCAGTGCTGATATAAATATTCATAGATTTGATGTACCTTTTGTATTTATTATGTGTAGTGTTTTATTGCATCTGTGTTGTAATAAAACTAGTGCTGTAGAGACGTCAAAGTCATTCACCAGAGCATCAGCGGAGTTATTTCGCTTTCGATGGGTAACAATGACCATATATATCTACAGCGTCGCGGTGTTAGACCATGATGGGGTCGTCGGAGGATAGCTGTCTTTGCAATAGCCGCTGTGAGCGCAGCGAGGCTGCGCCGGCGCTGAGGTCGTCTTGACTACCGAATTCGCCGTCGTGATCCGTTGTTGATAGGAGGTCGTCGTCCGATGTTGCCCTAAGCACAAATTGAAAATGGATACTTTTTTTGGTAAAAAGTGATATTAGGCCATAAAAATTTCAACGCCCGCCACCAGGAAAAACAAACACGTATTTTTGATAATAAGTTAAAAAAAACAACGAAAATAATTTATATGCGGTAGCATGCCCTGGACAGCGTCAACGTCCGCCAATTGCTTCCGAGGGTACCCCTACCGTCCCCCTTGGACTCTTCAGCGCCCACTTGGGGAAACTATGTATTAGGCAAAGGCAATGATGATATTATTTAAATAAAACAAACATACACATGATGACATCTTGAGATTTTAAGGACAAGTAGGTTCCTTGGACGGATCATCTAAAGTTTTCTAGATATTGCAGCAACTGCGCTCCGATTGGCCAGCCGGAATTCGAAATATACATTAGAGTTGGGCAAAGCAAATATTATATTATCGACATCGACAGTCAAGAAACATTATAATATATATATATATATACATATATATATATATAGTATATATACATATCTATATGGCATTATAAAAAAGTGTCAAAAGCAGGTAAGGGTTATACCTTACCTGCTTTTGACACGAATGTGCACACAAAACAAAAAAGAAACGAAAAAGAACAAAGGAGCGTAATGTTTTCATGGTGAATATATGTAAGGAAATATCGTTTATTGATTCCTCTGTAACTTCTGAATGTTTTAACCGATTTCGAATTGTGTAGTATTGTTAGAATCCATAGTCATTCCGAGTGAGCGTGGCATTGGGTATCAAAAAATGTCAAAACACACAATTTTGTAATGACAGCAAACAAAAAAATATATAAATAATAATAAATTTATAGTTTCCTTTGTAAGAGCACAGGGCAGCCGTGTTTTTTAATTTATTTTTTTTTATTTCGATTTTATTATGCAATGAAATAAAAATAACTAAAATAGATTTGAGCCAGGTGAGGGACAAGGGAAAAGCTGCCATGTTTAGTTAAACAATCGTTTAAAGGCTAAACGACATTTAATATGCAAAAACTAGATACCTAAAAATACAGGTACATATTTAATTAATTTAGGTATCGCAACTACACTATTAGTTTTAAGATTTAATTGAATAGCTTTATGAAGATTGCACAATATATAAATGTACTCTCAAACAAAAACAATTTTCCTGAGCAATAACAATGAACGATTCTCTATAAACTCTGTCATCTGCGAAATCATTCCTACAATTTTACAATCTGTTACGTAATAGTAAGTGTTTCTTGTGCATAATCTGACATACTTATAAAATCGATACATTATACTCATGGCTCAATATTTAACTACGACGACGTTAAATGTAGATTTCTTTTTACTTTACGATTGTTTAAATAACGCACACACTCAACATAGAATAAATACACAACATAAATCACTATACAGTAATAATTATACTTGCAAATATCGATACATAATATGGTTTTTTTCTGTGCAACACTAGTAACAAAACAAAAAAAAATAGAATGAGATGACGTAATGGGAATTGCATTAGCTGGAAGCATGACGCATAAATATTTTGGAATAATAATTGATGGGTGTCTTCACTATGTTATACTTGAGCTATGCTATAATGGCGAAAATTTAAAAATTACATATTAATATTTAATTACCGATGAAATGTAATTCCGTTTGTTTTGTAATTAGATGTGGTGCTGTTTTTCCCACACCACCGAATTGAACAGCACGCCATTGTTAGAGATATTATCTTTATTACAATAAATACAGAATATTTTTTGGAATACACGGAGACGTACACACATGTCAGTTTATAAGTCATGTATCACTGATGAGTTACCAAGAATGTATGGCCCTTATTTCGTCTCTATTTCTGGTTACATACTCGATGTTTGGGAGAAAAGATTTTGCTGTTACACACGTGATAATGATGTTCGATTGAGCAAACGTGTTACCTGATGAGCGAAGGCAGGTTACAGGTGAGCGCGGCCTTCTCCCTTTGCAAGACTACCAGATGACTCTGCAACGTCTGCTCCTCGGGCTGTGGCGCCTGTGATGAGCGTAAGGACACCAGCCGGCTGCTGGCGCTGTGACATGCGCTTTCCAAGGTCGCAATGTCTTGCAGCATGCCGCGCACCTATTATATATATAAACATAATAATTATTATATTAATAAATAATATGTAACGCACGTCGTCAACGCGTGAGATCAATCAAATGAAAGATTGAACAGCGCGGTTTTATTGGAGAGGGATGGGAACAGAGAAGCTAAGAGAGATACTTGCGGTTCAGCGTAGAGAGAGGAAATGAATTGGTGCGGAAAATTCTGTAAGGAGTACCATTCGGTATTTTGTGTTAAATGAAGTGATATTTTACCGTGCGCATCTTGTCGACTAGGATGGCCTCGAGACAGGCGGTCTGTCGCGCGATGTCGTGCAGCGAATCCTGTGCGGGCTGCACTTTGTGCGTGCGCAGGATGCACGGCGCGAACACGATCGCCAATGCATTCGGGCCCATCCTATTAACAACAACTTGTTACGTATTTTCGAACACGAATATGGGTGAACAAGATCAAACGGTAAACTCCCTAAAATTAATAGAGTAAGGGTCGACACACAAAACTGCGATGCAGAAATCTACGAGATAAAATCAATTTACTTGTCTTAAATGATAACTTGTTACCTGTTGTGGTCTTCCCCGAGCGCGACTCTGGCAAGATGGAATATGAGTCTTTCGACTAGATCGAAGTTTGGCTTAGGCAGCTTCTTGAGAATAGTGAATATGCTCGATACTCTTTCCTGCAGAAATGAAATATCCAGTTAGTATTAAGCCATTTTAATTTCGGATGTTGACAATTTGATACCTCTATTGTGTATGCCATGTAGGTGTTTGTTATTATTTTATTACATGGTTGGAATAGGGAGTTCCAAATAAGTAGATAAACGTTTATAAGGAGTGACAAAGAGTGATTAAAACCATTAATTAATTATGATTCTTCAGAAATAGTTTTACTGTATTGTAAGATAAAACTACTGACCTAGGAATCTGAAGTTGGATCTTAAAGTAATTGTAAAAAAACATGTTTCACAAAAGTAAACATTATTATGAGCTATAAGCAAAAGCTTGTTTCAACTAATGTGCCACTAGAATTATTTTAAAATCCAACTTCAGTTTTTTAAATGAATAGTTTTATCTTACGATGCAGTAAAACTATTTCAGGAAATCCGGAATTCGAATAAAGTTATTAATTAACATTTGGTGATTTTAATCACTACTTGTATCTATAATCATGTAGACATTTATCTATTCATTTGGAACATTCCGACCATTGCTTATTACATTACGTTTTTGGTTAATTTTGCTTGGATTACTCATAGTATATAACTTTATTATACACGTTAATCAGAACAAGAACAAGTGGGGCGGGATCAGTAACTTAGATTAAGAAACGAGTCCTTTGTGGGGTATTTAAACCGACATGTCTATGGTTAACTTTGTGCGAACTGGTAACCACCACCTATATTATTATTACATATTTCTGATACATAGAGAAGTTTCCGTAATGGCCAGTGATCGGAAGGAGTTAATTTAGCTACACTAAAGATAACGTGGACATTTCCTTCTAAAAATCCCGGGACTTCTCGGAACTGATATTTGATGCGTATTATTTATTGAAATTTGAGTACAATTGGTGACAAATTATTGTCTCAAAAATATAATATTGTAGTTGTGTTTCTATAGGTACTTATGTATTTAAATACGTTAGCCATTTAAAAATGAAACATGCGACAACCTATACTTTGGACTGTTTAGAAAATAAACATAATAAAATAAACAGTAAAAAATAAATTTTTATACGCATTGATAACGAAATGGGTATGTCCTTACTAAGAAAACGTTCGTATATGGATGAACTCCCACAATTCCGATCACTGTTAATGAGACAGACCTAAGATTTGTAGTCTCCTGTTCCTGTGATTGCATTGGCTCTCCCTGTGCTTCAATTTGGAACACAGTGCTGCTTTGCGATGGATATCCGTCAGTGACACCCACCTAGGTGGTTTTATATACACTGACTAGTTAACAAAATACCTGTGGATCCGTGATTTCCGCAGCCAGAATGAAGTCGTCGTAAAGGTCAAACGTGAGCAGTGGCTCGGGCAGTTCGCGGAAAAATCCTTTCAGTACGGAAGCTCTCACGTGCACTGCGTACGAGTCGAGGCGCTCCACGCCTTCTTCCGGTCGCTCGTCTAGTAGGCGCCGAAGTTCACGCACCTGTTTGTCGTTGACTTCGTGAATGGTTTACAATTCTTCTAAATAACAAAGTAGCAGTCAATCACACAAGTGACTTGGTCAAACTAGGAAATTCCCAGTAATATGAGCACCAGAGTAACTTCGGGGACACTATTCAGAAAACCCAGAAGGAATTTTAGAGCGACGACCCCGGTAGCCTAACGGTTCATACTGTGGGCATTGGATGCGGAGGTCCGGGGTTGGGTTCCCGATAGGACCAATGTAGGAAATGAGCTTTGCTCTGGTATGTGCTCCAGAGTGAATTCCTTTGCTCTGGTACTCAAAATACAGGGACTTCCCTAGTTTGAGACCAGGCCATTGGCGTAGTTGTCTGGCACATTGTTATTATTTCTTTGTTTCCTAAATTAATCCTACCAGAAGTCGACCTAACACCAGTATATGAACAGAGGATATTTTAAGGCGATTTACCTTTGAACTAAGTCCACTTTTCCTGTACAATCCCTCTGTATACAGCCCAGTCATTTCTATCGTAGTTATAAGACGGTCTACCACAATAGGAATATTGCTGTCTCCTGTAGGTAGCTCGCTTAGCGGAACGCCGAAAACCTGATAATTTAAAACACATTTGAAAAAAATCAGAACTTTGAATAAGATTTAAGTTACATTCGTACATTAATTACAAATTTTAATGGTGGAGCAGAATCCGACATTGCCTTGTGCATTGTTTTTTCAAGCTATCTCAATATGCGGCTAATTAATTATATCTTTATAGAAATGTCCTCTTACTTGTCCTCGGTTAACGACGCCGATCTCTTCTCGGCCTCCAGCATCCACTACGCCTACAATAGCCGCTGCTGGTCGCGAGCTGTCCTTTCTGCATTGAGTTGCCACCTTAAAAGAGGAGCAACAGACATTATCTAGACGATCGAAGGACACTTACAGGCGGTGAGCTTCTAGAGAACGAAATACGTGTCATAAGCATTTACAGATTAGGAATGTAGGAGAATTGAGCAAAATGTTATTATTTTGATTTACTCCGGTTTTAAGTATCAGACTGGTTTACCAGGACCTTATTCATTGAATTTAAAGTGACAGTTGTATATTTAAAGTCATTTCAATTTTTAAGTTTCTGGCTTCTCTTGTAGAATTTCGCCAATGTCATGTAGTAATGCCGTTTTTGAAGACGGAGTAAAGTGACATTTGCAGGGTTCTCAGTATTAATAAAAATTTAAATAGTCATATACGTGTTGTCGACAGTTTTATCAATAGATTGTGAAAGAAGGTAAACTTTTGCCAAAAATGTCTGAATTGTGAATGAATGAATGAACCATTCCAATGACTACTAATTGCGTCATTGCCTTCATTGTTCTTATTTTGGCCCACTAGTATGGAAATAAATTTTTATTCATATATATTTTATTAAGAACAGGCTGAATGTATAATGAATTAAGATAAAACTGAAAATATGTCTCTTCTTTGTATTTTTTTAATAGACTTAGTTCTAAATGCAGTGTATGTATGTAATTGACAATTCAAATGAACACGTGCCCAGCAGTTAGACGACTAATAGGCCGATGATGATTCAAATGTCACAAGTTTGGCTATTTATTGCATAAATGTAACCAATACTCAGTCGAAGTCGATAGAATATTTATCGATTGCGATGTCTAGCTACTTGCAAGCGGGCAACACTTTTGCGCAACGACCTGTCATTTCACTCCATCTTAAAAAAAATCAGATTATAACAATTTTGTATGGCAAATTATTAATAGTACCAATAGATGTCACAACAAGAAATAACATTTCACGCGCTCGCTAGCGACAACGACTCAGGCGTCTAGGCCGCTCGGCCACATGGGACCTAGTTGCAGTAGAGCCTCTTGTGGAGTTCGTACAGGAAAGTACTGCCATCTTACCTATTTATGTCGCCAAGCACTAATATCAGCATCTGGTGAAAGTACAGGCACATGGGACTTGTCAACTTATATCTCAGGATGACAGGCGCATTGGCAGTGCCCCTCAGATCTTTGCGATTTAAAGCTCTGAGTGAGACTGATACTTTTATGTACAGGCGTGTAGTTTACCATCAGGCGCACTACTTGTTCGTCTCGTTACTTGATATTGTAAAAAAAAGTAATTTGATAAAATTGTAGTGCAGATGTAATAATTATAAACATACCTTTGTATAACATTTCTTGTGCGATACAAGCTTGCAGGATTGACAGATGAGCGAGCGCTCGATGGGCCACATGAAGAAGGTCTTGCAGACCTCGCACTCGGTCGGGATATTAATCATCGACAGGATGAATGTGTGATTTTTGAATTGAATTGGGTCGTCAACCTTCAAAAAGAATTGTTTTTCTTAGTTCTATATATAATGCTGAACCTCAAAAAAATTTGTTACTAATTTTGACGATAAGTGTCACCAAAATTAATAACAATAATTTTAAATAATTGTTTTTTATATAATCTGCGCCGTACAACTTAATAAAAAGCTTTTAAAAAAGTCATAAAGATTACTAAATTTGTAAGTGGCAGCAACATAACTCACTTTTCGTTTCTTATCCTTTTTCCTCTTTGTCCTGGCTTTATCTGTTTCATGTTGACTCATAAACTCGTCCATGAACCCTCTAAAAGCATTCACTCCCATAGTAATTGAGAGGGTCGAGCCCTCCCTAGCACACACTGTCTCCATGACGTGAAGAAAGTTCCCGATAAGATCTTTGTATTTGAGGGCTGACCCTCTTGTTTCGACCACGCTGTATGTCGCTACTAAGTTGTCTTTGAATTCGCGTAAGGCGTGCTTGAACACACGGTCCACCTGTGAAAGAGTAACAATCGCCATGGAATACCCAGATCAAAAGCAATTTAAGAACATTCGTATCCTAGATTAGCCGGAAACACCAGATCTCGCCTAATGTCTGGTAAATTTAGGCCCGTAACAATGAACAGGCCCCTAATCCGGTTTTATCCACGTATCGGCTGAAAAGTCACTCGGGTTTCGAGGCGCATCTCAAGCGTGCGTTTCATATATTAAGAGATTATAATAATCGGTATTTTGGATGATATCATTTCAAGTAACCAATATCCTGCACTAGATTAACACCCCTCGTGGCCGAACGGTTACCATACCGGACTGCCACGCAGAGGTCCCCG